ATATAATGTGCTTTTGTGTATTATGTGTGACATTCTTGTATGCTGCAACCAAATTGCCTTCGGGAAATGAATAAAGACTGACTGACTTACATTTTATTTTTTATACCAAACATTAAATATAAAAAGTATATAAAACTACTTTCTGCTCTCCTGCCCTAAAAATACATACTTAAATAAAAGATGAGTAATTTTATCCCATTTTGGGATATCCCATTATCCCAAAGATGTGTTTTTATTCAATTCTTTTATCTACATTTCAGGACCCTGTGAAAGAGGGTGAGGAGAAGATTAAAGCTGATTACGCTCAGCTCCTTGAAGACATGCAAAACGCTTTCCGTACACTGGAAGACTGAGAGCCTCGTCTTAACCATCATTCTCAGGGCAGGGCAGCAGAAACCACCCTCCTCACAGACAGCCCTGTCCTTTACCTCCATATACTACATTCCACTGCTTTGTATTCATCTTGTGCTGTTTTAGATGCTCTAGTGTTCTTGATGTGTCTCCAAATACCATTTCTTTTGTACGTGTATATGCATTTGTGAATATGTGCAATCTCTATTATCCTCCTCAAAGCCTCTGCTCTGCCCTTTATACTTTACTGATCATCATGTCCGTAAATATAGATGTTATTAAATAATTTGATGTAATTATTGCTCTATTTTTATCTGTACAGAAGATTGAAAGACTTCAGAAGTTGACTATATTTACTGCCAGCATATTTACAGTTCTAATGGTTGCCAATATAATTATGTATACAAATATGTGTTGTTTTTTGGTACGGCTGTTTATTGCAGTATTGTCCTGTACATTTCGTTGAGGATGCAGCATATTTGCTCTTCATTGCTCACTTGAAAACGTGTCAAGAGTCGTGGAAAAACAGAAATAAATATTGTTTAATTTACTAGGATTGTGACTTATTTTTGACTTAGGTTATAATAATTGGTGACTTTTAAATTGTGACTATACACTCATTGGCCACTTTATTAGGTATACCTTACTAGTGCTAGGTTGGACCCCATTTTGCCTTCAGAACTACCTTATTCCTTTATGGCATAGATTCAACAAGGTACTGGAAACATTCCTCAGAGATTTTAGTCCATATTGACATGATAGCATCGCAGTTGCTGCAGATTTGTTGGCTACACATCCCTGTTCCACCACATCCCAAAGGTGCTCTATTGGATTGAGCTCTGGTGATTATGGAGGCCATTTTAGTACAGTGAATTTATTGTCATGTTCAAAAAAACAGTCTGAGATGATTCCCGCTTTATGACATTGTGCATTATCCTGCTGGAAGAAGCCATCAGATGATGGGTACCCTTTGGTCATAAAGAGATGGACATGGTCAGCAACAATACTCGGGTAGGCTGTGGCGTTGACACAATGCTCAATTGGTGATACTAATATGCCCAAAGTTTGCTAAGAAAATATCCTCCATTACACCACCACCACCAGCCTGAACCGTTGATACAAGGTAGTATGGATCCATGCTTTTATGTTATTGATGACAAATTCTATACCTACCATTCGAATGTCAGAAATAGAGATTCATCAGACCAGGCAATGTTTTTTCCAATCTTTTATTGTCCAATGTTGGTGAGCCTGTGTGAATTGTAGCATCAGTTTCCTGTTCTTAGCTGACAGGAGTGGCCTCCACTGTGGTCTTCTGCTGCTGTAGCCCATTCGCCTCAAGGTTCGATGTGTTGTGTGTTCAGAGATGCTCTTCTATATACCTAAGTTGTAACAAGTGGTTGTTTTAGTTACTGTTGCCTTTCTATCTGCTGGAACCAGTCTGGCCATTCTTCTCTGACCTCTGGCATCAACAAGGCATTTGCACCCACAGAACTGCCGCTCACTGGATTTTTTATTGTTTTTTTTTTACTATTCTCTGTAAACCCTAGGTTGTGCGTGGAAATCCCAGTAGATCAGCAGTTTCTAAAATACTCAGACCAGCTTTGAGTGTGAATATGTGGATGTAATTTTAAGTTTGAATGGAATTATTCATTTCTTAAATTAAAAATGAAGCTTTTAGGCATTTTGCATAAGTATTGTTTTAGAAAAATCATAAGAAAGAATAATAGTTAGGTTACAGAAATAAATAGAATAGAAATGTGGAGAGAATTGACAGTAAATGTAAAATGTGTTACTTTCTGTTCTACTCCAAAAGGAGATGTTTGGCTAGCTCATGGTTGGTTGGCACTCATCATTTCACTCCTGTTTTGTACTGTGTAAATACTGCTTTAAAAATACATTGGGTGGTTGTGATGTGTTTTCAGCACTCTCTAGGAAGCAGTTCTTCAAGTATTTCTCGTTTTCATTGTGCAACCAAAAAACCATGTACTTTTACCTATTATGGTATTATATAGTAAAACTAATAATTATTCCCATATTACAATTATTACTCCTATATACAAACTTTACATTGCATCCATTACAACATCTAGAATTTAAAAGTAGGCATTGATTAAAATACAAATAGGACATTTATTTAGCATATGTACAACTGATCAAAACATTTGAGTCCATTTATTATGCCAACGTGACGCCTACATGCCACATCATGCCCTTTAAGCGTGTCACTGTCTTAGAACATCAGGTTTAAGTGTCATCTATTTACTCATGTCTTCATGATGTCAGTTTGCATAACTGGTCTTGCAGCATTTTCTAATCCTGAAACCAGAATGTGGTTACTCAGGATCCCTGCCCTGGTTTCTTGTCTATACAGTTTTAACACTTTCTAGTCTTATCACTACGTGTTACATAAACATCTACAACTAACATTTGTCTATGATTAGGTTTGTTTAACTTTACTATCTTGCTATAGGTCAAGTCAAAAGCCATAGGTAAATCAAGTCTTCAACATTCACTATGATCTTCAGTCAGTAAAGAATCTGAATTTCATTAAAAAGTTCAGGATTGTTGTTTTTGAAGAAAGAAGGTGGTTCTTGCTGTCAAGGTGGCCCCTGCAACTTCAAGGAGTTACAGTTTCCTTCTAGTATTGACATGCATTAAAATGCGTCTCTTGTAAACACTTTACACTAGGTAACACCAACACAAGTATGACGTGTCCCCAATGAGCCTAAATGGAGAAACAAATTCAGGCCCCATCAGACCAATTCAGGACTGGAGAATGATGAATATAGGGGCGTCAGTGTTTATAAATAATTTATTTTTTGTGTTTTAACTTTTTAGGTCATTATTTTTCTAAAGCTGTAAAAAAGCGATGCCCTCACTTGAAAAAGCAAGTTGCTTTTAAAGTCTGCATGTCCTTTAGCCCCATATCCTCATGACAAACAGCTGCGCCTATAAGGGCATTCGCTGCATAAAACATATGCTTGAATAGCTGGCGATTCATTCAGCTTTGGCGATGTCTGAAATAGAGACTAAGCCAAAGGAAAATGAATGAATGAATCATGACAAACATCCAATTGAAACATCCAACTGAATGTGTCCTGAAATAAGAAAAAAATGTAGGGGGTGCATGACTTCGTTCTTTGGGAAGTGATTGGATCATTGGAAGATAGGGGTTGCAAACAAAATGGGCAAAGATTGCAATAGTATCTGGATGCAGGCTTTATGATGCAAGCTGAGATTGCATTACTCAGCGATGCAATGTCAGACACAATTCACTCAATGGAGTGAGTGAAGTCACAGTGATGTATAGGGTTAGGGGTGGGGTTAGGTGAGCGCATTAAAAAAGCATTGGATGCAGCTCAGATTGCACTGCACTAGGTCTGCATCCAGACCCCTCTCAAAGATTGATGACAGCAGGGCAGAAACAAGACTAGCTCTGATAGCTCCGCCCTAAAGACATTCCATGTGACCAGAAGTGAAGAAATGTCATTTTGAGCAGGGAGGGGAGGTTGTGGTATTTTATTAAAGATAATGAGGTCAAATTAATTTTTACTAAATAATTCAGAGCACATATACATCATTTATAAAATGAATTACTATACACATGTAAAAAACAATAGTAAATTTAGATTTCGTGTTGACTTTAAGGCGATTAGCTGACTACTTAAAGTGAGTAAATTCATTGCTTTTAAAGCGATTTAGTTGACTTTCTTAAAAAAGTGAGTACCTGTTTACTTTATAGTGATTAGTTAACTTGTCAACTCTAAGGCAACAGGTTTACTCACTTTTTAAAAGTAAAGTAACTAATACTTTTTTACCATGTAGCTATAATGTAACACCTTATGTTTGCCTTTTATAGTGAGATTAAATATATGATGACAGATGCTGCTTTCAGCTTAATTTAAGCTGTTTACTAACAAACAAAATTATTCAAATTGCAGTGAAATAGCAGATGGTCTACTGCTGATATATTGCAAAACCTTTTTTTGACAAATGTAACTTAAAATGAAAATATGTGCCCCTCTGTAATGTAACATTGTAAAAAACCTTTCTGAAAAGGCATTAATTCAATTTACTTTTTGGCTTTATTATTCTGGGGTTTCCACAGCGGAATTAACCGTTAACTTATCCAGCATATGTATACGCAGTGGATGCCCTTCCACAATGAAAATAAAATTATAAATAAACTAAGAATTTTGAAATTGTATTGGTTCTTGCAATTGTATGTTCACAGTAGTGAACTTTTGAAATTGATCAAAAAAGTGTTAGAAATTGTCCTAAGACAAGAACGGGTGTTGATCAATAGTTTTAGCACAACTTTGCTGAAAGTTTTGATCTACTTTAAATGTTGACTACTGTATTTCATATTATTATTTCAAATTATTATGTATTTGTCATATTATGTATTTCAAATAACACATAATTTGTCACTTTGCGTAGCATTTTCAACTACTATAGGATGTTTAAAAACTCCCTCTCTCTTTCTCTGTTAATCTCTCTCTCTATCTCTCTCACTCACAGACAAAAGAAAGAAAATAGAAACAAAGGGAGTCATACGTAAAATATGCAAATTGAAAGCGTGCTTGTCCTCGCTGCTTTATGAGCTGGAGGAGTTTGACTGTAAGTAAACCTGTTGCCAGGTGTGAGTGAGTGAGAGCGCGTGGGTAGGACGGTCGCAACAACTGGGACAGTCGACACTGCAGCTCACTATAACCACACCAATCATCGCTGTCGAAAGTTTGAGAGCATTTGGAAAAACCCGCGACGACTGAAGTCCATGATAACCTTCTTACAGCGCTTAATGAAAACCTGGAACTCCTACAACCAGGACTTACTGAACACGAGCCATTCAGGTATGTTTTTTCTATACGAGGGGATATTAAAAGAGAAATTTGAATATATATGCTAATTATAACATGCAGACAAGTATTTGGATTTCACATATATAAATGCCATATAGGCTATGTCAAAATATTGCAAAAATTGCTGTTTGCATATTTAGAAAAAAAATTCAACCATTTGATTTGCAAATATGTAGGCTCCTTATTTGTTATATATTAAAGCTATAATTGTATATGTGTCTTCGTAAAAGGAAGTAACAATAGAACTATATTTATAGTTCCAATGGTTGAACATTTTTGGCAATTTTTACAATATTTTGAAATAATGTTGCATATATGACATTTTATTGATGTGAAATCCAAATACGAATTTGTATTTCATATATGTAATTTGCATGTATTTTCATATATTAGATTTTTATATAGGTCTGTAATGTTTATGTGAGCACTCGGAAATACACAATACAAAATAAATGCACAATACAAAGTAAATATACAATACAAAACAAATATACAATACAAAATAAGCTTCTTCCAGTCAATCAATAAATGCAAACTTTTAATTGCGCAAAAGCTTTTTTATAGTACATAAATGTTTTTTAGATTATTAAAATGTTATTTACACTAAAGAATACTTATTGTTTTACGAACTGGTCACCTAAATGTTCTTTAGGGAACCTCAAATGCTGTTTACATGGCATGGCATTGAATTTAGAAATTTGTATTTTTATGGTTGAAGAATGTCTACAAAAGAAAAAAATTTCTCTAAATAAAATTAAGCAACGCAGTCAGACAGCATATTTTAGTGAACATATTGGTTTTGTGAACTGACATTAGCAATGCAGTCAAATAGCATATTTTAGCATATTTTTGTGAGGCTATTGGTTCTGTGAATTGACATTAGCAATGCAGTCAAATCGCATATTTTAGTCAGTATATTGTTTTTGTGAATTGCCAGTTGCAATGCTGTCAAGTAACATATTTTAGTGAGTATATTGGTTTTGTAAATTGACACAAAATTATTATTCTAAAAGTGGTTTAGCAGAGCATAACCAACTACAACAAATCACTACTAACTAGGCTACTTATTTTTACTTTACAAGTAGAAAAGTATGACTGAAACTCCCAAACCGCTGATGGGCAATGAGCTCGCGCAAGAGAACGGTCAATCTGGGGAAGTCAGAGGGAGCTCAGAAGAACAAGAGGTGAGATTAAACATGCTGCTTTATTTACGTATAATATGCAAACACAAAAGAGTGTTTGTTCCCAGCTGTGAATGACACGTTGCTTCATGAGCTGCATGCTGGATTCTCACTGTAAACCTATTAATAGGTGTCAATAGGAACAATTGATTCTGAGAACAGCACGCCATTCACATTACTCACTGCTGTCAGAATTATATGCGCATTTTAGGATAGTAGAATGCAGTCATGCAATTGAATTTAATAGGCAGTACAGATTAATCTGACCATTAATATTAAAAAAGTTATTTTGTAAAGCTTTTATTAGCTTCTGCAAATTAATATTAAAGCTACTAAATTCTACTTCACCAGATGAAAGGCATAACCCAAACACCCAAACAACCGATGGGAAAAGCAACGGATGGGAAGAACCCAGAAGAGCAAGAGGTGAGACTGAAAATGCTGTTTCTGCTTGAATTATGTTGGCAGAAATCACATGGCAGCATTATATTAACTTCAATAGTACAGATAAGGTCATCTAATGGAGATTTATATTATACAGTTTGCTGTACTTTGCCCCGCAAAAGATAACAGACACACCGTATCATGATGAGATTACACAAATGACATTGATTGCTAAATGTTATGAGATATTATAAGCTCTTGGTCTATAAAATTGGTGTATCCAAAGAACATGCTGCTTTTACAGTTAACAGTCTACAGATTCACAAATTTATATTACAAATTTATGTCCTCATTAATTTATGTTCTCATTCATGTTCTTATGCATTTATTTTCTTATTTTTTAAAACAAATTTTTTTATTTGTTGGTTTATGTATGTTTTTATTTATTACTTTTTTTACATTTACATAATTCTATTATTTTTAACCTTTTTAACCTATTTATATATAGTTGAAGTCAGAATTATTAAACCCCCTGAATTATTAGCCCCACTGTTTATTTGTTCCCCCCAATTTCTGTTTAACGGAGAGAAGATTCCTCATTTAATAAATCATCTCTAATAACTGATTTATTTTATCTTTCCCATAATGACAGTACATCATATTTTACTAGATATTTATCAAGACACTTCTATACAGCTTAAAGTGACATTAAAAGGCTTAACTAGGTTAATTAGGTTAACTAGGCAGGATAGGATAATTAGGCAAGTTACTGTATAACGATGGTTTGTTCTGTAGACTATGGAAAAAATATAGCTTAAAGGGGATAATAATTTTTTTTTTTACCTTAAAATGGTTTTTAAAAAATTAAAAACAGCTTTTATTCTAGCCAAAATAAAACAAATAAGACTTTCTTCAGAAGAAAAAATATTATCAGAAATACAGTGAAAAAAATGAATGCAATGCTGGGTTGGGATTGTAGTTGACCAGAAACAGGAGTCACTGCAGAGTTTAACCGTGATTGAGTGAAAGTTTATCATCTGCATGTGTTTTAAGGCCTGTGACTGTGTGAGCATTTTATGAGACTTTAAGGCATTTTAATAGCCCATAAAAAGTTTATTAAAGATTAATTTATTAAATAATTTATATGATGAAGACAATATATTGTTGTTTTACATTTGATTATTCAATTTCTGCTTGCAAATACTGTTAGTCTCTCTCTAGAAAAACCACTATAAACCACTGTTTAATTCGCTTATACATTTGCTCAAATGTGATTAATTATGACTGTAGTTTGTTTATTATATGTATAATAAATGACATAAAATATATTTATATTTCAGTTCCCTAAAAATCATCTCAATCAACCTAAATTAATGAATTTGTTTTCTAAATAGAGCTATTTAAGTTAAATTGTATTTATATCGCAATATACAATTGAAGTAAGAATGATTAGCCCCCTTTGAATAAATTGATGAATTAATAAATTATTATTATGATTAATAATTCAGGGGGGGTAATAATTCTGACTTCAACTGTATATTGCGAAGAAAAAAATATTGCAATGTCAAATTTTTCCAATATCATGCAGCCTGCAATATTATCCAATATTAGGGCTGCATGATATTGGAAAAAATTGACATTGTGATATTTTTTTTTCTTTGCAATATACAGTTGAAGTCAGAACTATTAGCCCCCCTGAATTATTAATCATAATAATAATTTATTATTCAAAAAAATATTTATAGATTTTTTTCTTTATTTACTTATTTATTTGTATTAATTACTTTTATATATTTCATTAATTATGATTGATTAAATTGCTTTGATTTGACCACACAGGCTCTGGAAGTCACAGTGCAGTTCACAGCAGCACCTCAGTCTACTGATTCTTTGTATTATACAAGTTACAAACAGAGGAGTGACGAGTTTCGCAAGTTATTCAAAGAGGTTCCTGAGCATGAGAAATTGGTTGTAGGTAAGCCTGATAGAGGGAGACAGTGAGACATAAATAAACAAAAAAGTACACTTTACTATATTGAAAATGTTTGTCAGCATAGCCACATTATTTGTTTATTGGATGTTGTTTGAATGATTTATTTTTTCCCTAGACTACACCTGTGCGCTCCAGAAAGATATCCTGTTACAGGGACGCATCTACTTCACAGAGAACTGCTTATGTTTCTACAGTCATGTGTTTCGTGGAACAAAAGTAAGTTGTGCATTGTGAATAATCAAATAAAGAAAAAAATGAGGAGGTCATTTGAAAATTCTTACTTTCTGTGAATTTACTGAAATGATTCGGTATTAGCCTACTTTGACTAAGGTATTAATTTTTATTTTATTCTGTAAAGGTCTGATATATATATATATATATATATATATATATATATATATATATATATATATATATATATATATATATATATATATATATTTTTTTTTTTTTTTTTTATTAAAGATTTTACTCAAACTCACAACTAGATATTTTAAATCCACAAAAACTGACAATTTGTGGTCCCTTACACAACGAAAATATATATATATATTTCCCAAATGATGTTTAACAGAGCAAGGAATTATTCACAGTATATCTGATAATGTTTTTTCTTCTGGAGAATGTCTTATTTGTTTTATTTTGGCAAAAATAAAAGCTGTTTTTAATTTTCTAAAAAACATTTTAAGGTCAAAATTATTAGCCCCTTTAAGCCATATATATTTTTTTCGATAATCTACAGAACAAACCATCATTATACAATAACTTGCCTAATTACCTGCCTAGTTAACCTAATTAACCCAATTAAGCCATATTATCCAGTCAAATATTATGTACTATCATCATGGCAAAGATAAAATAAATCAGTTATTAGAAATTGGTTAATTAAAACTATTATGTTTAGAAATGTGTTGAAAAAATGTGCTCTGTGTTAAACAGAAATTGGGGAAAAAAAAAAACAGGGGGCTAATAATTCTGACTTCAACTGTAGTCTGATGTGAATGACAATAAATATGATTTTTGGGCTTAGATCATGGTAAATATGAAGGATATCATCTCAGTATCCAAAGAGAAGACTGCAAAATGGATACCAAATGCCATTCAGATCAGTACTAATTCAGAAAAGGTGAAGTTTGAAGATTTTGTCTGATGTAGATACGTTACATTTACTTATTTTGTTTTTAACTAAACAATGTATTCTGTCATTTATTTTGCAGCTCTTCTTTAGCTCCTTCTCAACAAGAGAGAAAAGTTACCAAAGTATATTTCGCCTTTGGCAGAATGTTCTGATGGAAAAGGTAATATTTGTTTTCAACATAGCCTATTTTTCCTGTTCAAGCAGCATTAACTGTGACATTTTAATTCCTCAACATATGCATAGGCCTATTTTGTTTGTATGCTTTTACTCTACAGAGCAATGTTTCACAAAACCAACTGCTAATACTAAAATATAATTTAAAATGAATATAATGCAGGAACAGATACAACAGAAGCAACCAACACACTGTCAAAGACCCAAGATTACAGCATACAGTGTCTCTTCATAGCCAAAACAAACTATTTCCTTGTGTTTGGTAGCCCAGGGTGGTTACTAACATGACATTTTAATACCATGTGAGACAAACAGACAGAATAATACCCTATAGACCTAGGGGTCAGGGATATGCTTCAGTGTAAACAACCTAAATCAGTAGGGTAACGTTACACTTGACATTTAGACATTTAGTTCATTGACCCCACTGAGGCGTGGCTTCCTTACCTGAAAATATGAAAATACTGCCTCTTTCCTATGCACGGGGAACTGCAGAGCTGAAATGACAGGGCAATTAGTATGGAGATATGATAAACGACTAAAAAGCAGATAAACTGTTAATAATTAGCTGACCACAAGGCGGCGCAGGTGTAGTAGTTCGTCTCTTCCTGATTTCACATATGAGTCTGACGGAGGAAACGCACAGGTTACTGGCGTTTAACAGGTGGGTGACATGGAGAGTTTTTTGACGGGGTAATTCAGCGAAAAGTTCAGAAGAACAGTTCACGTTATGGCGTTTCTTTGAACATGATATGTGATTGTAGCTATGTTTGGAGAATGTAGAGTTTTATGAATCCATAAAATGTTTTGCCTTCGGTTTGTTGTCTTAATGTGTTCGTGCCAGACGGCCTTGAAACAATTGTTTTACGTTACGTTTTGATTGTTAGTAACCTTTTACCTCCCCACGACGTTGTTGTTAATGTAGTTTTTATGTAAAAAAAAAACTATTTTAAAGTGACTTGTGTTTAGTTTTTTGTCACTTCTGTCGAACAAAGCCTTGCTGATACGATCTATTTACAGTTGCAGTGTTTTGATACGTCCTTGCGTTTTATTTCTATGGTAACCTTAGTTTACGGCAGAATTACGCAAGTGATGTTTGTAGAATTATGGAGTTTCTACAGTTAGTTAGTTAATAGTTAAAATTGCAAAATCATAAATTACTATGGCATATTTTTTAGTTAACTCATTCAAATGTTCGTTTTTAATGAAAACTTACCACCTGTTGATAAACACTGGTAATTATAGTATTTATTTCTGTGTATTTTTTTATTTAAATAGGCTATTTTTTACACGTATTTTGACATTTTAATGTGTAGTTAACTCAAAATGTACTGAACGTTAATTCTACTCATTTGAAAATATTTTGAACTCAGCGGTGAAGGTAATGAGCTAATTAAATACCTAATTACTTCAATTTAAATGGAGTAAGTTCACAGTACTCGTATAGATTAGTTTATTTTTAACTTAAATAGTTTGTTGCAATAAGTTTTCTCAAACGGTTTGAGTTGCCTTAACTTGTTTGGTTTTACAGTACTCAATTGATTTGAGTTATCTTAATGTATTATGTTTTTCTGTGCTCAAATTGCTTTGTTTACTCACGTGGATTAAGTTCACAGTACTCATTAGGATTAGTTTTTGAACTAAATTGGTTTGTTGCAATTGGTTTCCTCAAAAGGTTTAAGTTACCTTAACTTTTTGGGTTTTACAGTGTGGTAAATGTACTAATACATTTAAAAATGCTGTCATTTCTTTTTTAGAAATGGACTTACTCAATTTAATTGTTCAAAATGATATCAAATTATGTAATTCTAAATGGGTTTGCCTTCACAATTTCAGTATTTTGTGCATAATCATGCCAGTGTTGCTCATATTTGCCTTCTCTACGGGGATTGTCCTGGTCAGTGTAGCAGGTTAGGGCTGTTTTATGTTCTGTTTTAGATGAATATCAGTACAGGAACTTGAAAAGGCAGGATGTAAATTTATTATTTTTTTTGGCAGAAGAATTTGTTCAGGGTGGTGCGGAAACATCTGACAGTATGTTGCTCAATGTATGTATCTTCTCTTGCAGAAATTGACTAAGTTGGAGCTGTTGCAGATGGTTAGGCAACATTATGGCAACGACTTAGGATTGAGTCATGATGAAATGGAAAGTTTTCAAACATCAGTAGATACGATCACGCCTACCCTTCCCAGGTTAATCACATGCATGCATACCTATTAACATCTTCACATGTCGGCACCTGTTTGGACAACTGTGAGATCAGTTACTTGGTTTTTAGGACCCATCTCTTTGTTGCAGTCTGAATATGCGCGGAGAGGATTACACCGGGAGGCCAGAAAGGCCAACATCTCTTCGTCTTCCTCACGGAGAGCTAAATTCCTATGAGGCCTCCACACCACAAGGAGACGACACACAGTCTTCAGTGGGTCTGCACAGTGTGCTCTCAGCAAACGGAGGGGTATGTTAATGTGTGTTTTTGTCTTTAAAAATATTTTTGTGTAATGATGTGTGGGACTGGTTGATGAGTGGGGAAATTAATCTCAAGATTTGTTAATCCGTTAGTCTGTTTAAGATTCATTTTACCCAGCAATTTACATTCTGATAGAAAGATAATTTTTTAATATTGGTAAATTTGTGTATAAATTGAGGCACTGTTAATAGTGTGTTTGAGATGATTTTATTATTCTCAAAATATCTGTGAATACATCCTTTGAAGAAATTCCATTAAATAAAATATATTTTTATTTTTCAGGAAGAATTTTTTTTTAAACCAAATCAACAATTCTGAGATTTATCTTTTTATTGATTTTATTTCACTTTATTGATTGTAGTCTTCATTTGATATATTTCAAAAGGAAGACTAGGGCACTTTATGGTAAAGGGTCTGGAAAGTGGAGCTTATTTGAGGCATGTTATTAGTGTACCCATTTAATCTCTTAACAGGATGATTCTCTCAGCACCCCATCCCATCAGCTCAGTCCAAATCTGTCATTAAACCGCTCTGGGTCTGAACGGGTGTCAAAACGTTCCTCTTTCTCTCTGGATCTGAATGCTAATGAAGACCAGCTCTCTGACAACAGCAGATCTGACAGTCTGGAAGAGGGTACGTCTTGTGCACGTGTTGCTTGTCTCATTCCTTTGTCGTTTGATGCATTGTGTTTACATCAGTATTGATTTCTTGTAGTGGAAGAACGTGAAACCGCATCTCCGGTGTCTCAGGGAAGACTGTTTGTGAACCGGGTCTTTCACATCAGCGCTGAGAAGATGTTTAACTTGCTTTTCTCCGATTCTAGTTTCACAAGGAGGTTTATGGATATCAGGAAAATCACAGGCATGTTTCTTTTTTTCTTTTGACACTTTTACTAATATTCCATTTCTGTAGTTATTCTCATTCATGTAAAATTTATTGTTGCTAATCACTTATTTGTATGGGAATAGCTGCTAAAATTTAGGTAGTTTTGCTTGCTATTTCAACATAAAAAAATAGACTTTGGACTTTTCAAATGTAGAGTCATGTTTTTGTCAGCTTTTAGTTTCATTTATAGTAGTAATAAATTAATAATTCTGATTGTTAATTTCATAATAATTTCAACTATATGCAGAAAAACAAATTAAGAAAATATCCACTCATATGCAAGATTTATTTTACCACATCTTTGAACATTATAAGAACTGGTTAAACGTTAACGTTTTTGTGATTTTTTTTTTTTTTTTTTTTTTAAAGATTTATTTATTTATTTTTTAAATAGTTTCAGTCTATTGTTATTTTTTTCTATTTAAGCAAAAAAAATGGTATTGCATCACCGAGTTGAAGAACAATTTCTTGGCAACCACAAACATAAGTGATGTAGTTCATGTTTGGATGTGTTGCTCAAGCAGAATTATTTCAGGTTTTTTTTTTTGTCCTGGGCAACAATAAATTGGTTAAAAATTGTAGCAAATATATTATTCCATATTTGTTTTTCATATTTTTAGCATTTAGCTTCAGTTAAATGTAGCAGCTCTGGTATTTGCATACTTTATAATGGAGATATAGCTGACATATTCTTAATAGTAACTCAAGTGTTTCACCTGACAGGTATAACCGCTACCCCTTGGAAAAAGGAGGCCTCTGGCTGTATGAAACGAACTTTGAACTACACCATCACCATTAACAACCCTCTAGTTGGCAAGTTCTCCACTGCTACAGAGACCCAGGTTAGATTCACCGCTATATGTCTTTGTTACAAAACCTCCATGGGAACCTGAAGTTTTAAAGTGAGTGGACATTGGTGAAATTTGCGTAGTTACACAGTACAGATACAGAAGATAAAAAAAATTTAAATTGGAATCCAATTTTGGAGCTTAATTATTCATTTTTGGCTGTGAGAGTTGATGTCTAAGTGGATATATGCCTAAATTAAAAATAAAAAGTGTCTTGGAAAGATGTTCTGTTAAGCATTATGTTGTAACAGATTGTCTTGTGTATCGTTCTGTCATTGTCATTAGTAATATAAAACGTATGTAGTTGTTTCAGTCTATCTGTGTATGTCTGGCACTCATATGGTCTCTCAAGTTACTCAATTGTTTGTCAAAAAAGATTCACAAACCTTATTGAAAAACTATGATTCTTTGGTTGCACAGTTAACATGCAGTATTTGGTTTGTCACCATATATTTGGATTCAGTTTTCAGGAAAGAACTGCAGTTGTGGTCAAAATCTGTGAAATCAAGACAGTGAATTGGCATTAAATATTTTTGTGATATTATCACTTTTCACTGCTGAATTTTTTTTTTTACACTTTACAAATAAGAATTTAGCCACTTCCAAAATTTGCTGTCTGTGCTTTGTTTTGTTTTATTTGAAATTAAACCCATAAAACAATATAGTGTGCCAGAGCCGCCTGAACTGTGACACATACTTTAAAACAACAAAAATAGCCACCCCTTTATGTGTGGCAGGCAGTTGCATAAACAATACAGTGTTTGGTTTGAAAAAGAAAATGACTGTAGACATGATGCAATTACGGATTCACTATTTTAAGAGCTAACTATGCTTTTAAAGTTGATGGAGGCATTTAGATGAAATAATCAGATTATAACGTAATAATGGTGACTGGCTACGTTTAGACAATGATTGTGCTGTACACGCAGTAAAGCAGTTTTGAATACTCCAATGTCACATAATATCTATATTGACATGTAACCAAGGTCAGTCCTCTCGTTTAACTTATGATAGCTTTGACTAATGCATGTAATCATTGAGACCAGATGCTATTAAATACAAAGGCTGTCTCTTTATTGTACATGTATATGCAAATCTTAAATAGTCACCTATTCCAAGAGGTAGCCAGTTTATTCCATTTTCAACTAAACCGTATATGAATGGAACCATTTTTGACAATTCGAAACCTTACTCGCAGCCGTTTCATACTGCTGTGTAAAGTCATGTATAGGAAATGTTTTGATTTCTGTTCTTTGTAATTCTAGACATTATATAAAGAGTCAAGGGAGGGTCAGTACTACATGATAGATTCAGAGGTCTACACCCATGATGTTCCTTATCATGACTACTTCTACACTCAGAATCGCTACTGTATCATTCGTAACTCCAAGCACAAGTGCAGACTCAGGTGAGTGGTGTTCTTATATGTTTGTAAAACTTCTTACATTTTTGACTATTTAGTTAACTGTACTCTTGATATGTGTGTGCAGGATTTACACTGATGTCAAATACAAAAAGCAGCCTTGGGGTCTTGTTAAATCCTTTATCACCAAAAACTCCTGGAGTGGCCTAGAAGACTACTTTAGACACCTTGGTTAGTATAATCATTTTTTGGTCACTGATCAAATCAAAGCCAGTGACATGTTTTTTGTTTATTATTATTATTTAAAAATAATCCTAAACGATTGTAGCATGTCAGACTGCACTTTCATGGCTCCCATGTCTCACTGTAAGATCTCAGCCGTCATAAAGTAAGACTGAATGACAATGAAGATGCACCAAACATGGAAGAAAACTCTCCCGGAGTTTGACGTCTTCCACTTGACACTTGACACAGTTTGACACTTTCACTTTCCTGCGTTCTGAAATGATTATTCGCAGCAAACATAAACAATCTGTAGTGACAATTTTGCACACAGCACGCCTCAATAATTAAACCAGGAAGAAAAAAACTGTTTTGACATTTTTCCCGCGGTCATTTGAATTGTTGCATGGACTGCGTCATCAGATTTTGTTGATCCAACTTATTGGTTCTTGGAATGACAAGAAACAATTCGCAGCTGTGTTACACTGCAGCAAAGTGTCTGAAATCTTTTGACACTGCCAGAACTTCATCGGAGGGAAAATCGGATTGCAATGGGCATTAAACAGCTGTCTATGAACATGTCAAACCAAGGATCAAAGACCGCAGATTTTAGCCAAGGATTTCAACAATCTTTTAGGATTTCCCAAATTTGTTTCAGATAACAAAAAAGTGGCTGTAATCTCACAGTGTAAGCAGGGTTTTTAATGCATTATATTTGTTATACCACTGAAGCTGGTATGGCAATCAATAAATACTACAGTTTACACACAATATTCTCACATTAGTCAGATTGGTAATAATTTTAGTTTTTTATATGTGCCACATAGACTAAAGCAACTGGTTACAACTATTGAGTTTATTCACATTAGATTGATAATAGTTTTGTGTTTATATGAGGAAAAATTAAATGGTAAACTTGCAAAAATCTCATTATAATTACACTTAAAAGGTGCAAATAAACACACTGTCCCAGACAATTCATTCATGTTGACCCAACACAAATAAAATTTAAGCTAACTTAATTTAAATGGGTTGAACATAAAATAATGAAGTTGTCCCCATAAAATGTCAAATTTTAAAATGATGTACTTAAGCAATAAAACTAAAACTGAAATTAAAATGTTATTTTTCAAATGTAGACTAATAAAAATGTACATTAAATTTATAAATTTATTTTATTCAATTAACATTGAAAATATAACAATGAAAGCGATCAGAATATTAGTAAATTATATTGTAGTTCTTTCTAGGAGAACTACACCCTGGTGTGTTTGTATATGTCCTCTTTTACTGAACATGTCAAGAGAAAGGTTTATATAAACATGCTGTGAATCAACTAAAGTGAGCAAAACTGGAGACAATGAGCCAAGTCTGCAGTTTTGCTCACTTAGGTTGATTTACAGCAGTGTTTTTTACGTCCTGAAAAAAGCTAAATTAAATGAGTATTGAACATTAGTGACCTGATCAAAGTGTCTTGGCCCACTATTATCAGCACCATTTCCTACTGGTGAAATTCATCAGATGGATCCATTACCTGTAAGCTCATTTAATTACCAAACAACAGGGATGCCAAAGGCCAGATCCCTAAATTGATTCACTGACCTCAAAATAACCACTCTAAGCACTTGAATTAATGCACTTTTAATGATCCTCACCTCACAATCCACAGAGGCAGAGCTGCTAGATGAAGAAGCAGAGTTGACTCAAGGAAGTGGAGATGCTGGGAAGACGGGTGCTTTGCGCAGGAGAAGAAGAACGTATAGTCGCACCTTGCAGGAACACATGAAGCCGGCAAAAGCACAGTACAGCACAGACTCAGAACAGCAGAGGACTGGAACCATGGGTATAAACCTATATTTCTTGTTTTGAATACCAAAATCTCTACTAGCCTGCATAACTTTTGCACTGTTCAGGTGTATTTGGTTGTTTGTGCTTTTCGATACTTAAACATGATGTATTAGACTTAAAATGAAGTGCTAATATAATTATTACATAGAATTATATTACAGGTCCAATGGACATCAAGAACACACCACACCGATGGAACATCACTTCAGTTGTGTTTGGAATGAGCTTAATGTAAGGCTTCATTCATTCTGTTTAACCCCTCATACATTAGCAGTATGTACAGTAAACTCAGAGCTCTGACACTGACAGTGTGTCTCCTGCATAGAATAACTAATACAATTAATTTTAAGAACAATTCATAACTTATTTTTTCCATAACTGTTATTTAAAATTATTGTTGTTGTTTTTGTTGTTGTTGTTATTATTATTATTACTATTATTATTATTATTATTAGTAGTAGTAGTAGTCTCTACATGTTAAAAAATAGCAAATTCCACATTACGATTATAACAGTGATGACAGAGTGGAAGGATATTTTTTAACAATATTGTATTTTTTGAGCATATGAGCACTAAAATATTAACAGATAGATAGAAGACATTAAACAGACTTCATGATGCATAACATGAGTATAATAAACAGAACCCTGTAGTGCTTAAATAAGTTTGATTAATAGTTGTCGATTTTTGGTGTGTGTAGTTCAAATGTAAGTTTGCCATTAATTTAGGGTGGTTTCACAATGGCTCTTTTAGTCTTAGGTGTGCTTTACTTTTACATCACAATACAAGAAAGGTAGTGTTCGTTTAAAAGTTTCACTGTTTATCTCATTACTGTAAAACAGTACATTGGTAAGTTCACATGGCATATTCTTTATATTTTCTGCTGTGTTCAGTGTACTGACCATGACATAAATAGGAAATCTGTGTAAATGACGCACTTAACAATTGTTGTGAAATGTTTTAATGCATCTATGAATGTTTTGTCTCTCAGACTTTTTGTTCTAGTGGTTCTGAACTTGGGGCTCTTCTTCAAACTTTGGGCCATGGAAGATGTTGCTCACCGCATGTATCTCAACACTAAGCACAGAATGAAGGAGAGGGTAGAGTCCAGGTAAAGCTTTTTAAGAGACATTTGTTTTTGCTTTGTTTGTTGTAATTATTCTTTTATTAACTTAGCTTGTTTTTTTTATATAGTTTGCCACCTGACCTAGGGCCCAGACACGGTATGCCTCATAGAAGTCAGGAGGAAGTTCATTTACTGAGAGCGGTGCTGCAGGACTCCATTAACCTTCTTGAGCAGGTATGTTTTTTTTTTTTTTTTTTTACTTATCCCTGCAGCAAAGTGTATGCAAAACAAATGTGTGCACCATCACACGTCAGCGAAAAGCAATGCTGATGAGTAACTCATTATATGCAGTCTATATTTTGTAATAGCATAACAAAAATTAAAGCTATAGTATGTACCTTTTTAGAAAAGCAAGTAAGTTTAAATAAACATCAAATTTGAACCACTACAGTAAAAAATATATATATTTTTAGATTCATCTAGTTGCAAAGGACATGTTCCTCATTTTCATTAGTTAACCTAAAACTAAGATAACTAAAAGACTAGAAAACTAAACAAAAGTGACAAACACATAATCCCTAAAACTTAACTGAAAATTCATGATAGTTAATCAAAACTATTAATAAATAGTTAGTATTCAAAGAAGATAAAATACTACTGGTAATGGTTAACTTTTCACCTTTTTCCAGTTGAGAAATTCCTGGTGTGATGTATTATACACTAAATGGTCCCTTTATTAGGTACACCTTACTAGTACCGGGTACTAGTACCCACTCATCCTTAGTGGCATAGATTCAACAAGATACTGGAAACGTTCCTCAGAGATTTTGGTCCATATTGTTATGATAGCATCACACAGTTACTGCAGATTTGTCGGCTGCACATCCATGATGCAAATCTCTGGTTCCACCACATCCCAAAGGTGCTCTGTTGGATTGAGTTTGGTGACTGTGGAACTCATTGTTCAAGAAACCAGTCTGAGATGATTTGCACTTTATAACATGGCACTTTATCCTGCTGGAGGTAGCTATCAGAAGATGGGGATACTGTGGTCATAAAGGCATAGGCATGGTCGCAAATAATACTCGGGTAGACTGTGGCGTTGACACGATGCTCAATTGATTCTAATGGGCCTAAAGTGTGCCAAGAAAATATCCCCTACACCATTACAACCACCACCACTAGCCTGAACCGTTAGTACAAGGCAGGATGGATCCATGCTTTCATGTTGTTGACTGCAAATTTTGACCTTATCATCCGAATGTTGACGCAGAAATCAAGACTCATCAGACCATGTAACAACAGTTTCCAGTTCTTAGCTGACAGAAGTGGCTTCAGGTTGAGTTTTCTGCTGCTGTAGCCCATTCGCCTCAAGGTTGGACGTGTGTTCAGAGATGCTCTTCTGCAGACCTCAGTTGTAACGAGTGGTTATTTGAGTTACTGTTGCCTTTCTATCAGCTGGACCCAGTCTGCCCATTCTCCTCTGACCTCTGGCATCAACAAGGCATTTCTGCCCACAGAACTGCCGCTCACTGGATATGTTCTCTTTTTCTGACCATTCCCTGTAAACCCTACAGATGGTTGTGTGTAACAATTACAGTACATCAGCAGTTTCTGCAATACACAGTCCAGCCTGTCTGGCACCAACAACCATGCCACATATAAAGTCACTTAAATCACCTTTCTTCGCCATTCTGATGCTCAGTTTGAGCTGCAGCAGACTGTCTTGACCATGTCTACATGCCTTAATGCATGATTAGAGTTTTGCATTAACGAAGAGTCGGACTGGTGTACCTAATAAAGTGGCCTGTGGCTGTATAATGCACTTTAAGTTGTGTGGGATATTGACAAGAATAAATTCACTCTGATACAAGATAAACCTAATTATTTAAAAAAATAATTGGGTAAATAAGGTAAATTGAGTAAATAAATGGAATTAGGTGAATTAAAAATAATGTAAGAAGTAATCAAATAGTTGTCAGAATGCATTACCTAAATCTATTACATGTGCAAACTACAGTTTTTAACATTTCACATTCATAATACCCTACAGTTTAGAAGTAATCTGCCTAGCACTGGTTGGATGTTCTTTCCTGTTTAACTAATTCTTGACCAATTATTTGTTTTATATTTGTTTTGCCAGTTTAAAGAGGCCTAATGCATAAATTCTTTTGGAGAAGAGGTCTCTTATGTGCAAATTGTTTTTTTTTTTGTGCTCTTCCACAGCTCCGCAGTTCACTACTAGTGCTTCAGCAGAACTTTCAGGTGTACAACAGAACCTCCTCTCCACTGTAAATGGTTTTGAGTTTGGTGACCCGACAGCACAAGGGTATTCATCCCATAAGACCTGCCCGCTTCTGAGGACTGTTGCCATAGGGGCACTGCCACCCCAGGGCAGAATCGTAGCTTGGTTCATCGTCTCTTAGGCCAGGTTTGTTGCCGTTGGACGTTTTTTTATTTTGAAGCTTGATTTCGTCCCAGAGGAGATGTTCACATTTAAAGACTGAAGATGAAAGAGAATTTGTGAACTTAAAGCTGAAGGAGAAGAGTGGCTGTCTTTTTCTCGTTCTTCACAGTTGATGTTGCTGCAGTGAAAGCAACAGTGATGTAGCAGGTTGCGAAACACAATAATCTCTGGGATGCTGAACTACAACCAAGCCAGATAAAACAAAAGAAACCAAAAAAAGTCTTGGACTTAAGGGGTTTGGTGTGGCTGCAAAGGGTATCTGATGATTGAGCTGGCAATGCAGGCCCGTTGCCTTTGGTTCATGTTAAAGGTCTGCCTAACATTTGCTCTTGTGGTCTTTTTTTTCTTGATTTAGACCGTTGTTGTCTTAAGATACATCTAAGAATTTATTAAAGCAGGGATCAACACTGACAAATGATTGTGAAATTTGTATATTTGTAGATTTTTGGATACACATCCGGTTTTTAATATTGTGTAAAGGTACAGCTTTATGTGGAGAAGATAAAGAACTGGAGGTTTAATGTAAATGGAGTGGTGATGCTTTATGTACCTAGAAATGGTTTACACCTTTTGGTTGTTGAGCTTTTAGATACTATATTGTAACTACTGTGAAATAAACTTGTGAATTCTGTACAATGGACAAAGTAAACGTTAATTTATTAAAAGACGATGTGTAATTTTCAAGCATTTATATATGCTTTTTGTTTTGGATTATTGGCCCGTTTTCATCAGAATTTTTAAAAAATTTCTTCTGAAACTATTTATAAATAAAAATCTCATCACATTACAATGTTTAAGTTGTGATCATTTTTAATTTACAGTAGCCAACATTTGATCAAAAAGGTTTATTAAAATTGTCGTGAGACCAGAATGGACTTCCATAGGGTTATTCGATATGTTAAGGACAACTTTGATGAAAGGTTGTGATCCTGTTTTAATGTTGACTACTGTATACACAGCTATGGAAGAAATGAGAGCACTTCTCTGTTTGTCTTGGTTTATTAGGCTTTACTTTATAATGTAGGTCTCATGACATTTCTTCCAAATTTCAAATAAACTATTGAGAAAATGAAAAGTGGTCAAAACGAATATTTTAATTTTGCTATTTAAAATCAGGATTACTCTCCTGAAGTTAAAACCGTGGTATTGTGCTGTCTAAAAATGAATAAGAACGCATCTGAAAACAATTTTTTTGTATTTTAGGTCGAATTTTTTTTTTTTTTTTTTTTGTCATTTTATTGTCAAAATGCTGTTTATTTTATTTCCTTGACAGAACCTATAAGTGATGTGCTGTCGCATTCACTGAGGACTGAGCATGCACGTTGAACTACTGCACTGCACATCAGGACTTACTGTACTCTTTAAATTAAATAGCAATCATCCTCCTAAAAAAAAAGCTTATTTTTCTGATCATACAGAGAACTTGGTAGGTAAAACTGTTTTTCCAGTAAACAGAGAAATGTAATAATAATAAATCCAATATATCATTATTTATTTATGAAAACCTCTTCAAAGAAAGTATGTTTATGATCTCTACTACACATACCAAATTTAGGTACAGATTCAGTTTTCCACCTCAAAATCATCCTTTTGGCAATTACCATACCAAATAACATGGCTTGTCTTTATATTTATTAAACATCTCTAAGTTACTAAATATCGCAACAACAGCTAGAAGTGGACATGGTTTAAAAAACTTTAGAAAAACACATCAAATATATTTTCAATTACAAATTCTTGTAATTTAGGACACGACCGTATTAAGTGGGTTAGGGACCCTTTTGTTGTTTTACACCTAATACAGAGTGGAGATATCTGAGGAAACGTCTGCAGTTTCTCCTTAGATAAGTATAGCTTATGCAGGGTTTTAGATTGAACATTAATTAAGCATGCATGTATATTTTATACTAATTGTTAAACGTATTAAAACGTACGTGTAGACACTCTGTAGCCTCAGACTGTGTAAAAACAACCTAAAACAAAAAAAAAATTCGTCATTCAGTAAAACCTATATGAATGTATGCATGCATGCATGAATGAATGAATGAATGAATGAATGGAAAAACCCCCACTTGTTACAACGAGAGGTAATGAAATGGTTAGTTTTCACTGACGTCAGGAAGACCAGGACAAAGCGCGTTTCCATTCGACAATTCAGACACACAGCGGCGTACTGCTGCTGCTGTGTTTATGTCACGCTACTTCCTGGTGCTTTTCGAAGTAAACTTCATACATTTGGACTAGTTTACTTGCTATAGTTTTTTTCAGCCACTCTTCGATTCTGTGAAATGAATGATTAAGTTCCTATGGGGAAGAAGGCTAAAAGACTAGAAGGTTCCGAAATCCAACCTGAGGCAGCTGGCGAGCATGTTTACAGTACTAGAAAGGAAGTTCATCTCCTGCAATATGAATGTGTTGTGAGTGCTGTAAGTACAAGATCTATGCTCTCAGCCTTACGAGAATTTCCCAATCAGTCCATTTGCCTATTATCGTACTTCTTCTGTTATCTGACGTGTTCTGGATGGTCAGTCTGTCTTTTTTCACTTTCCTGCCTTCTATCTGATGAGTAGTTTGTAGGTACAAACCTGGTACAAACGTGTTAAAAAGCGTAACTTACGTCCTATTTAAGTTTACAGCCAGAAGGATTTCTTTCTCTTTGTAACGTCAGTTCTTTAATCTAGCGTTTCCCTACTTTTATATTGCTTTCTGTAGTTTTACCTTTCTGTAGTCTTAGTTTTTGTTTAATTACATATTATTCTTCGTTTATTATTTAAAATGTTAGTGCTGTCAACAAGTTTTGAAATTTTTTATGTTAATTGCACTCATTATTTTTTTAAAACTTAATTAAAAAATGTCTTTATCATAATCTTATTACTTTACATTAGACAAGACTCCAGTCTTTAATTCGAAGAGAATATTGTATTAGGAAATTTCCTATAAAGATGATTAATTCATATCATTTTAGGATTTGCCAGATTAATGACCACAGAATATACAGTGTCTGTCTGCCCATTAGTCGGTCTCTGCCATACAGTACTAATATACTGAGACATGCATCTGAACTGTAAACTTGTTTCTCTTACAGGAATGCGGTCTCTTTGTTTTATGAGTTGATGTCCATCATGAAGAAGAGATCTAGTCGAGCAGCAGATCCGGATGAACTTCTGTGCTGTTGTGAGTACATTGACCGTCATGGCAGTCGCAGTCACATGGTGGCATGTTGCTGTGACTGTGAGGATTTGGATGAGGCTTGTGACAGGTGAGTGAAAAAAATCTAACTGTGGGTTAAAGTATTTATATTTACATGAAATAAAATGGCAAATGGTCATCATTTGCTCACATGTCGTTCAAAATCCATATCACTTTCATGGCTGCACCTAAATAGTGGAATGTGCTGCCTTTGTATATTAGACAAGCCTCTTCAATTACCGGTTTTGAATATCTTTTTAAAACCTACTTGTTTAATTTGCCGTTAGAACATTTTATGTTTATTTATTTGTATTTATTTTCTGACTGATTTAGTTTGACAAGTGTAATAACAATAAAATAAATCAAAACAAAACCACAGATTACAAAAGCAATGGCAACTAACAAACGGACCCAAAGTGTGCCAAGAAAATATCCACCACATCATTACACCACCACCAGCCCGAACCGTTGATACAAGGCAGGATGGATCCATGTTGACGCCAAATTCTGACCCTACCATCCGAATGTCACTGCAGAAATCAAGACTCATCAGACCAGGCAACGTTTTTCCAATCTTCTATTGTCCAATTTTGGCGAACCTGTGTGAATTGGAACATCAGTTTCCTGTTCTTAGCTGACAAGAGGGACACCAGGTGTGGTCTTCTGCTGCTGTAGCCCATCAGCCTCAAGATTCTCTGTACCATTCTCTGTAAACCCTAGAGATGGTTGTGCATGAAAATCTCAGTAGATCAGCAGTTTATGAAATACTCAGACTAGCCTATCTGTCCCCAACAACCATGCCACGTTCAAAGTCACTTAAATCACCTTTCTTCCCCATACTGATGCTCGGTTTAAACTGCAGCAGATCGCCTTGACCATGTCTACATGCCTAAATGCATCGATTTGCTGCCATGTGATTGGCTAGTTAGAAATTTGCGTTAACAAGCAGTTGGACAGGTGTACCTAATAAAGTGGCCGGTGAGTGTATATGCAAACAATATGCATGCATGCATATATTGTGTACACACACACAAACATAATAAATATGCACAGTACACACATATTTTTTTAAAAAGTAGTATTTGTGATGTGATTAATCAAACTTTTTTGACGGCACTAATTTCAGAGTGTCATAATTTTGGGTTAGAAAAATAAATGGAAGTAGATTTTTAATAGATGGACAGAAGGGACTTCATTAGTGTTCAGAAGAGATTTCTTACAGGTTTGTGTGATGTGAAAGTGAACAAATGATGACATAATCTTTAGTATTCAGTGAACCATCCCCTTAAACAGTGGGTCTCAAACTGGATTCCTGGAGGGCCGCAGCTCTGCAGTTTTGCTCCAACCCTAATTAAACACGGCTGATTCAACTAATCAAGGTGTTCAGGACTACTAGAGACCATTAAGCAGGTGTGATCTTGAGGTGGTTGGAGCTAAACTAAGCAGAGTTGCGGCCCTCCGGGAATTGAGTTCGAGACCGCTGCTTTAAATGAAGAACTTGAAAACATATTTTCTTTTCTAGATGGATGAACAAGGAGCCTCAAAACCCAGACTCTGTGTCTCGGGCACTGGCCACCATCAATGACCGTCTGCGGGTGCCTTGGATATCCGGTGCCCGACAAATAGACGTATCACTCATCCCTCCTCTCATTCTACTGCCTGTTTTTTTGCACATTGCAGCTTTGCACTACCTGCTGGGAATTATAATGCTGACAGCCATGCCCATCACTGTCCTGTGGTATTATTTCTTCACTCACCGAAAGAAAGGACGCACTCTATTCTTCCTCGGCCTCGCTCTCTTCTCCCTCTTCTACATGTTCTACCTGTTCCTCACGCAGGTGGTTCCTCGAGGGGAAGTCACTGAGCTTCAGCTGGCTGTGGTGACGGCTGGTGTCGCTCTCACTGTTATTTTCCTTATGCTCACCAAAAGAGGGCCAGGTTTGGTCAGACCTCGTCCATCTGAGACTCACAGTACAGTGACGTATCACAGCACTCCGCCTGATGTAGATGGGGTATATCTGAATGGAGCCCGACATCAGGTGGTCATAGGCAGTCGGGTCGCTTCATCTGAACACACTGGTGAACCCGGGACAGAAGAAGAAGAAGAAGGCGTTCAGAAGAGGAACTGGTGTGCTGTGTGTAAGGTGGTGCGTCCTCAGAGAGCCGGACACTGCAGGATCTGTGGGGTCTGTGTGCTGAGGCTGGATCATCACTGTGTCTGGTAGGTTTGCTTTAAATTGACAGAGAAAAAGAAACGCTAGATGTTTTGTGTTTTTTGTGTTTGTACATTTCAGTGCAGTTTTATAATATTTTTGGGTCATATTTTGGGAGGGAGGGGGGTGCAAACTCCACACAGAAATGCCAACTGCCAATCTTTAATTTTTATTCAAATTTAAATGTAGCCCCTGAAGTTCTCTGCATTGCAACATGGTGAGATGAAATATCATTTTCAAGAGTTCAAACTTATCTGATGATTAATTATAAAGCTTGTTTGGCAAGAGCCCTGAGCTCATAAGATCCTTGAGCCCCGGGCTCTAATTTCGATCCTCTCGAAATTAGTTTATAAATAAACTTTACTTATCTTTTCACAAAAGTAATTCAAAAGAAAAACTATAAACTATACAAGCTAAGAAGTAATATGTGGGAAAGTTTTCATGGTCATAAATAAACAGTACTAAATTCATCTAGAGCGAAGCAGTGGCACAGTAGGTAGTGCTGGTTCGAACCTCGGCTCAGTTGGCTTTTCTGTGTGGAGTTTGCATGTTCTCCCTGGATTGGCTTTCCTCCGGGTGCTCCGGTTCTCCCACAGTCCAAAGACATGTGGTACAGGTGAATTGGGTAGGCTAAATTGTCTGTAGTGTATGGGTGTGTGTGTGTGGATGTTTCCCAGAGATGGGTTGTGGCTGGAATATATGTATGTATGTATGTATGTATGTATGTATGTATGTATGTATGTATGTATATATATATATATATTAGACAACTGAATTTTTACCATAGTACAAGCAACACTAAAGGAAAACCACGTTCAAGCTTTTGCGAACATTTATGTAAAAATGTAAACATATATAAAAATATAAACATTTCTGTTTAAAAGACAATTATTATCCTTCTGTGGACTTAATTCTTTTTCAAATATTTATCAATTGCTGTTTAGTAGAGATTTGTTTTAACACATTTTTAAATACTTTTTTTTTTTTTTACTAATTTCTAATAACCAACTTTTGTGTTTGCCATAATAACAGTACATAACTACGTTACTACTTATTTTGCAAGATACTAATACTCTTAATTATGTTCATTAGGTTAAACTTCGGTTAATTAGGCAAGTCATTTGAAAACAGTGGATAATTCTATAGATAATAGAAAAATCACAATAATATTGATTTAAAAAAAATAAAAAACTACTTTTATTCTAGCCAAATTTAAAGAAATAAAACTTTCTCCTGAAAACAAAATGTAATACACACACAGAAACTGCTGCTTGTTTAAATGAGATGAAACAACACAATTCTTGAGATTTCTTTGGGACAACTTAATTGTTTTATGTTCAGTCCACCTAAATTCATTCATTTTCTTTTCGGCTAAGTTGCTTTATTAACCTGGGGTTGCCACAGCTGAATGAACCGCCAATTTATCCAGCATATGTTTTACACAGTGGATGCCCTTCCAGCTGCAACCCATTACTGAGAAACATCCCTACACTGTCATTCACACACATACACTATGGACGATTTAGCTTACCCAATTAAGTTATTTAGCGCAAGTCTTTGGACTTGTGGGGAAAACTGGACCACCCAGAGGAATCCCAAGCGAACACGAGTAGAACATGCAAACTCCACATGGAAATGCCAACTGACCCAGCCAAGGCTCAAACCAACGACCTTGAGGCGATTGTTATCCACTATGCCACCGTGACACCCTCCACTTAAAAATATTGAGTTAACCAATTTGTGTTGGGACAACATGGATGAATTGAGTGGAACCATGCGTTTTATTACAGTGTAGGATAATACTGTGGAAATTTCCTCGAGGGCTAATATTTAGCCTTCAACTGTATATACTGATATATATTCTAACAAGCCATTTTTGAAATATAGTTGGATTAAAGTGCATTGAAGTGCCTGCTAAATGTGTTGTTCTTCCTGTCAGCCTGTGTGTAATAGACCTGACCCTGTGTGTAAGTGATCTGTGTAAATGAAGCTCAGTGTCTGTTATCAGGATCAACAGTTGTGTTGGACTGGCCAATCACCGCACTTTCCTTCTGACGCTGCTCTTCTTCCTGCTGACGTCGATTTATGGCATCAGTCTGGTTCTGGCAAGTGTGTGTCCTGATCAGAGAGTCTTGACTGCTCTCTTCTACTGTCCCGATGTCTACAGTCAATACAGGTGAAAAAACACACACACACAAACACAAACACACACACACACACACACACACACACACACACACACACACACACACACACACACACACACACTTCTCTTTGTATTCACTGCCTCTGTTCCTTCCAGTTCATTAGATATTCATGGAAAAAGATGTTTTTCCCCTCTGAAGCATCACTTTGAATCGTCAATTTAATGGGGTTTTGTTGACTTTTTGCTTCAAATGCACCGCATCAATTTTTATCTCCATAGCAGAGCGCAGAGAAGAAAATGAACACAAATCCCTTTTCTAAACATCATCTGCTGCTCTCCACATCAACATCAAGGCCTGCTCAAATATTAGAACTTCTGCTTCTGAGAGAAGTTGCGGGTTATTTTACAATATATAAATTAATAATTACACTATTTTACACAATATATAAATATTTAATTTTTAATTCACACATTTTATTATCCAACTGCTTGTTAATGAAATTCTAATCCCAGTTTCTTTGCAAATCCTGCCTTGGGAACATGATGTTAGGTGCTAATACCGAGACTAGTGAAAATGGCTTATTTCTCTGGATTTGAACATTCTTCAAAACATTTAGGATAATTTAAGAACATGCTAGAGCAAAATATATGTGTGGCGAGGGGGCGTGGCCGAGAGCGGTGGGAACGGAGTGAGGCCACCACGTAAGTGGATACACCTGCGGTGCGCACCTGCCTCGAATCCCACGGAAGGAGCTCTGGACTATAAAAGGAGGAACGATGGCAGAGGAAGCCGAGAGAGGACCGGGCCTGGACATATTTTACTTTTGCTTTCAGTTTGTCCGTTTGTTTTGGTTTAGACGGCAGTCTCCGTGAGGAGCTGCCGTCACTGTTATTAATAAATAATTTAAACCTGCGTCGGTTCTCCGCCTCCTTCTTCCCGGCGGCCAAAGGGCCGTAAACTTCATTACAGTGAAAACAAACGGACGGCAGCTCCGTCAAACTGAAAGCAAAAGTAAAATATGTCCGGGCCCGGTCCTCTCTTGGCTTCCTCTGCCATCGTTCCTCCTTTTTTAGTCCAGAGCTCCTTCCGTGGGATTCGAGGCAGGTGCGCACAGCAGGTGTATCCACTTACGCGGTGGCCTCACTCCGTTCCCACGGCTCTCGGCCACGCCCCCTCGCCACAATATGTTTTGGGTTTTTTAATAAAAAAAATGTCATAATGTGCTGTAAGGTCCGCCCAGTTGGTCCAATGGAGGTGTCCACTGGTGGTTGAAGGTTCACTGCCTCTTCAGTCTTTCCAGTGCTCAATGTTGATTCACTTCAAATTTAACTCATATCTGACTCCAATTTGAATATGAGGTGGTTTAGAATATTATAATATATTTATCTTTCGTTTTATCTGACTCCAATCATAAAACATTAAGAAGATTATATCATTATATAATTTAGACAAATGTTTGAACCTTTTGTCTTCACTCGTTATTATTACATTTTTTCATTCGGGTGCTCATGTCGCTCAGAGAAATCGCCCCGGCCGATGGCATCCCTCATGGTCACACTCTTGTCAGTCTTGAATATTAAACAGAGGTAGATGACTACTACTTTTAGATGGCTGCTCCCATGCTTGCTCATTCTAAAGTAATTTGATTGTTTCTCCTTAGATGTACACCATTTTGTAAAGATAATACCACTTCCAATCAGAGGTTAGGGCCATTATTATAAATGTAACTGACTACTGTACTCTATAATAATTTTGGTTTAGCCAAGCCCATGGTTTCCCATATACACTTAATTTAGAATAACATTACTTTCAAACAAGGGTCGGGTACCCTATCTAGGTTAGTTGTGCAACTCCTTTCCTAGCCGGAAGTTGACGCCCTTTCCACCTAAGTACACTTGAATCAATATCAAGAGTCAGTCGGATCCCTAAAATACAATTAGTGTGCCCAATGCTCCATCTTAACTGGATTTTAGTCCATCTATTGACCTGACACAAAGTGCGGAAAACAAGGATACAGCGTAATCTACTAGAATGAATAATTACAGAGTAAGCAAAATATGTTCAAACATAATTTAATAGTCAGGTAAATGTGTGTTATGCTAATTATTCAGTCAATTTATAAACGATCGATACAAGACATCAAATTATCAAAGATAAATCCAAGATTAAACAATGCATACCTGACTTTTTTACACAACATGGAACATGAAGTTCTACGTTGTAGGCTGATCTGGGTAACAGAATCGCGCCGAACATTTAGAAACTTTACCTTAAGTAGTTAATCCAAGAATCACCTCGAGGAAAGGGTTGCGTGAATAACAAAAGGCATTTGCCTTTAGTGAAAGAGTTTCTGTCTATAGGAGAGGCACACCCTTCACAGTGGTTCAAAAGATACCTGAAGTTATATATTTATTGTTTTGATTGTCTATTTCTGAGGGAATGAGACCATTGCATCAGTCACACTGAGACATTTCAAATGATATCAAACATGATAGATAAAGTCACTTGGGTTGATTTAGAACATTCAGATTTTGAAATGACCATTCTGTATGAGTACAGTATGTACAGTAGAGAGGGTGGGTGAACCGGGATGCTTCAAATGTAAATGAAGGAATGGAGTGGAGCTGGTTTTCTCGCATTCCCACCTTGTGGGTTGTGGAGCCGATTGTCTCTGTGTTTTTTTAGCTCATATTTGAATTGTCAAAGACGTCAAGGTATTTGTGGTATCTCAAGTCTTACAGTGCCTTTTAAAGTTCTGTTCATCCCCACACAGCTCTTTAAAGGGCACATAGTTTACCCCTTTTTATGTTTTAGTATTATTGTTATGGTTCTTCTGAGTGTGCCAGTTTAGGTTCAGTTCAAAACACAGTTCAGATTATTTTATTATAATGTGTTAATATGACTCTTCATAGCATTAGACTGCTCATGTTTAGTATTCAGCATTCTATTAATAATAAAGTGTTCAATAATGAGCTGTTTGTTTGCGTGTTCAGTTCTGCGCTGTGCTTCACCTGTGCCTGGTACAGCAGTATCGTGACTGGAGGTTTGCTTCACCTGCTGCTCCTGCAGATCCTCAACATCAGCCTGAACGTGACAGAGCGAGAGGCACGTCTGGCCCTCAGAGAGAAGAGCGCTCAAAGGCGCCTCTGGGGTCTCATCGTCCACACCGGCCATTATTCCAGAGGCTTCTGGAGCAACTGGACTGAGTTCTTGACCATGACTGAAGATACACAGCCAGCAGGGCACAAAACAGAAGATTTGGTGTAGAAACTGAGCATTTATACAGTGACTAGCATAAATGAGAACATCATCTGTTAAACATTTCTTTGAGAATATGGAAATACAGTTTTATTAAACAGTTCTATTTATTAACATAAAAAGTGGTGACCGATCATATTTAGGATAAGGAAAATAATATAAATATGATATAGAATTTCCTACAACTCTTTGTCTGACTTAATTTTTTAAAATCACAATCATATGGTGTGTACTTATTTTTGCACAATGATCTTAAATTATTTTGAAAGATTAATTCCTGTTTTGGCTTTGGTACTGACTAATCTTATGGAAAACCAATAACCCAAATTTGCACAAATATCTCATTGCATGGCATTCCATAGAAAGAATTAAAGGGATAGTTCACCCAAATATGAAAATTCTGCCATCTTTTACTCACCCTTCACATGTCACAAACCTGTTCGCACTTAATTCTGTAGTATTTGTATTTCCTACTATGAATGTCAATGGTTACTGGCAGCCCCTCCAGGATTTTGTAGGTCCAATAGATCTAGATTTTAATAGATCATTGTGTATTTTCACAGAAAAATGATGATGATGGGGATATTTTTGGGATATGTTTAAAAGTGAGATGGGTATTTTTTAGAGAAATGTTAGGATGTACTTTGTGCTGGGCAGTGAAGTATCATGTTGTGCTACCTAATGTCTTGAACATTGGTTCCAGGCTCTTGCTGGAGGTCCTCCTCAGAGTCAGCAGATGGCAGTGTTGTAGTGTTACATGTCTGTCACATCATTATTACTCAGGTGAGGATCAGTGTTTACAAATCAGTTCTTACTAATTAGCTTCTGTAATTAAAAATGGAAAGGATTAGGATAAAAAACTTTGCATTTGCAGCTTTGGAAAGAATTAAGAGACAACTTAAAAATTCTCTGGATTTAGTAGGCATGGGTTTGAGTAAATTGTTAATATTTATAATATTCTGTAAAGGTGTGATATTTCTTTCTCTCCTAATTTCACATAATTATTACATTCATAAATGTTGTCATTTATAGATTTTAAATGAGAACTGGTCTGAATAACCAGTGTTTTTAACAAAACCAAAATATTGGTTATTTAACCCTTCTGAATAATTTCAGTATAACAGTATTGTGTAGTCTAAAAAAAGACTATAAATGTCTCAAAACATGGGATCTTCTGTTATTTAATGCAAAAAAGCAACAAAAAAAAGTCATTTTAAGTAAAAAAATTTCACGTAGTTTACAGAATAAAACTAAAATGTGTTGTTTTTTTCTCAAACACAACACTATCTCATAAATCCAGGGAAACTGAACATTTTTCAGTGCTCTCCTTCCTTTTTTCATAGCTGTATTTGTCCATTCACACTTTATTGTTTAAACTGAAACATTTCAATCAAAATAAACTGTTACATCTTTGGTTACATTTTTACTATAAGGTATTATCATTTGTGGACATTAGTTAACTGTATTATTTTATATGAACTAATGGCCAACAGTTTCTCAACAGTATTTATTATCCATAAATAATAATAAAGTAGAATTCATACATGCATATTTATCCTTTTACATTTTGCAAACGTTAACATTTTTTACAATAAAATGTATTATTTTAAATATATTAATTTATATATACATTTTTTTAGAATTTAGAATTTTTTTTAGATTTATTTTGATTTAATTAGTCATTTTAGTCAGGAAAAAACATTTGAAACTTTATGTATTGTTTCCTTCAGTTTGTAACTATGAAGTAGTTTTAGCAATTAAAGGTGCTGTATGCAAGTTTGACTCTTTTAAAGCATAAAAATACATATTATGTTTGAAGATTTTTAACAAACATGCCAAGTGAACATTTTTGTTTATCTGAAAAACAATTTCAGATAAAAAACTGATTTCAGATATTCTGCTTTGAAAATGTGTTAATGGCTGCCTTTGTTTTGGTAATTGTAACTTGGCCAACGCCAGATTACCCAATTATATATTTTTAGCCAATTTATACTTCCTTGGCGGAAAACAGCATATTTCATTCATTCAGTCAGAAAGGCTCTGAAAGTATGCGTGTGTGACTAAAATGCGACCTCTGGTGGACAGTAACAGACTTCAAAATGAGACGCAGATTCAGTTCTACATGAGATTAATAATAAGCAAATAGGTGAGCAGGTTACATTGTAACCCCGTGTCCTAACAACATGCTACATGACCAGATACGCAGTGATAAAAAAATTGGGCTGTTTTTTACCAGACAAAACACGACAGAAATTTAAATACAGCCTTTGAGAAGCACAGGATATGCACTCCCTCACAAAAGGTAAGGTTTATAATCTAATTAATACATAATAACCCTCTTTAACATTATTAAATGTACATGCTGAATCACTCAAATGTGTTTAGTTCTAAAGTTAAATTTCAAATGTTTTTCTTTTATTTATCTATCTTTTTTTATTTATCTTCTGCTGCTTTCAGTGGCAATAAATGTCACGTAAAATGGCATTCAAACTCACATTGTTAGAATTTATTGGGTGCCGGTGCTTTTATTTAGAACACTGTTTAAATCACTAGCTCCTGTCCTCAATCTGGCAACCTGCGCTTGCGTTTGTTTTGATTTAGGAGTGCAATACCTAGTTTAAGCACAGGGTGTCAAACTTAGCACAAATACTGCACCTTTAAGAATTCTTCTACGTTATTTAATAATCTTAGTTTAATTGAACCTCTACATTCATCAATGAAACATGTTTAAATTAAAACCTGTATTTCTTACCATTAGTTAATGCACGGAGAACATGAACAAAACTTTATTTATGAACAGCACAGATAACTGTCACCAATATATTTTTTTCTAAAAAAATATTTCTGTTGTGATTCACAGCTAGTTTGATCAATAATGGATTGTACCATCTAATATTTCTTCTCCAAAGTCCACAGTGTGTCGCACATTCAGTATCAGGCTTTATTTAAAGCCTTTTCAGGACATCAGAAGTGATGCAACCTCTCCATCCTGACAGCACACAGCTTTACAACTGTCATCCCAGAATGAATCTTTTATATCGTGCTTCATGTTTGTTGTTAGTGTTTGTGTGTTTATATGCTTACGACGGCGACAGATCTATGCACAAATGATCGCATCTTATTTAAATCAAATTCAAAAATGGAAGCCTTTTAAGCACAGCTCTTCAAAATCCAGATGTCTGTTTGTTTGTTTGTTTGTTTGTCTCTGCTTGATAATGTAATGCACTTCATTCTACAAGTTGTTCATTTCAACTGTAGTGTGTAAAAATAAATGAGCATGAACGAGCTTAAACGCAGCGGCTCATCAAGCTGCAGATGTGTTGATTGTCATTTGATCAAGTCCCGTACAGCTCGGATGTATGCGGTTGAAAAGGATTTACTTTAGCGCCACAGGGAGTCCATAGGGGAAGAGCGGAAGTCGGGCAGAATCTCTGCTACTTTCCGTCTGAGCTGCTCTCTGCGCTCCTCTCGCTCTCTCTCCTCTCGCAGCACCACAGGAAGACGCGTCCAGCCAGAGAAACACTTCCTGACAGCTCTCCTACAAAGACAACTTTTATTATTCCAAATCTGAATAAACCAAACATGTTTATTATAAAGGAGCACTCCACTTTTTTTGTAAATAAGCTCATTGGACAAGTCGTCTACAGTTAAACCAACAACACTTTTAGCTTAGCATAGATTATTGAATCAGATTAGACCATTAGCACCTCGCAAAAAAAAAACAAACAAAAAAAAAAAACGTTATAATAATTTTCCTATTACAGTTTCACTCTTCTGTAGTTACATCGTGTATTAAGATCGACGAAAAATGAAAATCAGCTATTTTCTACTATGGCTGCAGAAATATTATGCAGCACTGTTACCTAAAGTAGTTATCTAGCCAGGGACTATGTTCAGGCACTGCGTAATATCACTGTTTGTAATATCAACATGACAGCAAAGTTTCTTGAGTTTCTTATTACGCTGGAATGAGAGTAAAGTTCCTAGCCATAGTATAGTGTGTTGCTTTAAGATTAGTATTGGGTGTAATTAAGTACAAAGTAATTCGTTACTATAATTTACTTTTCCGGTAAAAAGGTAAAGTAATAGATTACTTTTTAGAGTATTAGAGTATTTTAGAGTTTTAGAGTTACTTATATTGTACTTGCATTAAATACTAAATAAATGCAACATTAGTGTATAAATCAATTCAGAGTGGCAGAGTCATAGAATTTTTTGTTAAACAAATAGAATTTACTGAATAATGAAGTTTACATTTACATACAGAGCTCCTCACCATATCTATAAGGGTGCGCCCTGCCACCCTATGAAGGAAACTCACTTCGGCAGTTTGTATCCGAGATCTTATCCTTTTGGTCATGAGTAGGAACATAGATTGACCGATAAATCGAGAGCTTTGTCTTTCGGCTCGGCTCCTTTTTTTACCACAACGGACCGGTACATCAACCGCATTACTGCTGCACCAATCCTCCTGTCAATCTCACGTTCCATCCTCCCCTTACTTGTGAACAAAACCCCAAAGATACTTGAACTCCTCCACCTGGGGTAAGGACTCTTCTCCAACCTGAAGATGGCAAACCACCTTTTTCCGGTGGAGCACCCTGGCCTTGCAGCTATGGAGCCAGGCTTGGTGTTGCGGCTCATATCTGAGCACCTGGTAGCCGGATTTTTTCCCATGGAACCTGGCCGGGCTCAGCCCGAAGGATTGATGTGAGACCTTCCTCCTGCAGGCCCACCACTTCTAAGGGGCCGGTGCATTGTGGAACGGGTGGTGGTCGAAAGTTAGGACCACGACAACCTGATCGTTGTGCACAGAAACTGGCTTTGGGACATGGAAATATGTGTGTGTAAAAATATATATTTGGGAATTTTTTAAAAAGGAAAAACAATAAACCGTATATACTGTACACAGTTGAAGTCAGAATTATTAACCCCCCTTTGAATTTTTTTTCTTTTTTAAATATTTCCCAAATGATTCATAACAGAGCAAGGACATTTTCACAGTATGTCTGATAATATTTTTTCTTCTGGAGAGTCTTGTTTGTTGTGTTTTGGCTAGAATAAAAGTAGTTTTTAATTTTTTAAAACCCATTTAAAGTTTAAAATGAGCTGTAAGTAACTATAGGTATAGTAACTGTTGAGAAGTGTCTTGAAAAATATCTAGTAAAATATGACGTACTGTCATCATGGCAAAGATAAAATAAATCAGTTATTAGAAATGAGTTTTTAAAACTTACTATCTAATCTAGTCTTCTCTCCATTAAACAGAAAATTGGGGAAAAATGAACGGGGGGGTGGGGGGGGGGGGGTAATAATTCTGACTTCAACTGTATATATGTGTGTATGTTTACATTTTCTTAAGTATTAATTTTTTTTGTAAAGCTAAAAAGCCCTTTTTGACTCAAATTAGAGAATTAAAAGAGATTAATTTGTTTTTGTAGTATTTAAAGTAATTAAATGACTTTTCAGACAAAGTAATTAGAAATGTAATTTAAATACAGTTTTAAAAACTTGCCCAACACTGCTTAAGGCACAGGAGATTTATAGACTTATGGTGCTTAAAAACTGCTGATAGATTCTGGCTACATCATTGACAAAATTGTGTTTTTGTTTAAAACACAACATTTTCTATAATTATGTCTGACATCCACACTACTCTAGAATGTTTGATCCTCCAAACCATTTTAGTTTGAATAATAAAGGCTATTTTTAATACTAAATACTTTTAAGTATTTTGGGATTAATAAACAATTTCATCAAAAAATAAAAAAACAGCAATTTTGTACTACATTTTTAAAGCTTGTTTTAGTATCTGACACGTTTCCGCTCATGTAGTATGGATGGAGATTTTTTTTCCTGAAATACTAAAAAAGATGGACAATGATAATCAAAATGATCATTTTGATCATGTAAAATACTGTGTTCAAATGAAAATGTCCCAGTGTAACCTGTAGCCTCAGCCTAATGGCAACAAAGGTGAAGGAAAGCAACATAAAGCTGTATGTTTGTTGACCTGTTGTTGTGTTGTTGTGCCCGCTGCTCATCATCCCAGGCTGTTATCCTCTCTTCTGTCATGTGATCCAGCAGTGCTGTCAACATTTTCCTCTGAATGTTTGTCTTGTAGAAATGCTCGGCTCGTGCTTCCAGTATAAAGCGCACATCTTTTAACTGACAAGTATTGGAGAAAAAAATTGTTTATTAACTTTGCTAACACTAAACATTAAAATTGGGTATAAAAAATGTTTATTAAGGCGAAGCAGTGGCGCAGTAGGTAGTGCTGTCGCCTCACTTCAAGGTCGCTGGTGGGTTGCGGCTGGAAGGGCATCTGCTGCATAAAAACTTGCTGGATAAGTTGGCGGTTCGTTCTACTCTGGCGACCCCGGATTAATAAAGGGACTAAGCCGACAAGAAAATGAATGAATGAATGTTTATAAACTTTGCTAACACTAAACATTAAAATTGGGTATATAAACTGGCAGTGCACACTTTCTGCTTTGGTCAGTATCTTGAACATCTTGCCAGTTACATAGCCCTGGTGGCAAGTTTGGTGATGCACAGCTGACAATTTCTTCAGAAAATATGAATTATAAGTCATGTATTGTAATGAAGTTACTTTATTTAACTTTACATTTATATCAATAGATTTGCTCTTTAGTGTTTGGACTTTCAGCAGTGAAATTTAAATCACACTGAACTGAATTTCAACTCTGAAAACTGGACTGACAGTTTCAATTAACTAGAACTACTGTGTTGAGCTGCTTTGACAATCTACATTGTAAAACGCAACAGAAATAAAAATTTATTGAATTCAATATTATTTATTTTTCTTCAACAAATAAATACTGAAATAAAATAACCACGGACAGGGAATAGATTTTTATAAACTATATATTTTTAAGTCAGGAATTAATCTATTTAAATGTATTAATATTTATTATAATTAATACATGTTATACATGTCTTAAGCTTAATAAAGTCAATTAAATTGTTATTTTGTATTAAGTTGATAAGACGACCAATTATTAGCTCTCCTGTGTAATTTATAGACTTTTTCAAATATTTTCCCACATTCTCAGAAATAAAGTTAAGTGAGCTGTCACTGGTGCTCCCTTTTCAAAAGCTACACATTTGTACTTAAAGGGTCCATATTGGTACCTCAAAAGTATACATTAGAACCTAGACATTTTAAGAGGAACACTTTTGTACTTTTTAGGTACTAATATGTACCTTTATGGTATTAATATGGACCTTTTAGGTACATATTGATACCTTTTTTTTAGGTACATATTAGCTCACATACCTTTATTTCTGAGAGTGCAGTGAGGTTTAATGGAGCATGTTCACAGTATTTCCTAAAAAAAAAATTTTCTTGTGGAAAAAGGATTGTTTTTAAATTGCATGTTGAGCTGAATACTAGTATCTTACAAAATAACGAGAACAATTTAATGCACTGTCATTTTGATTTAAACAAAAAAAAAAAATTGTCATTAAAAATTAAATATTAAAGATATGCTTAAAAATGTGTTGGAAATAAAAGCTCTCTGTGAAACAGCACTTTATTTGAAAGTTTATTTGAAAAAGAATAAAAAACGCACAGGAGAGCTAATAATGTTATGCAGAATGAACAGCCAACTTATCCAGCAAGTTTTACACAGCGGATGCACTTCCAGCTGCAACCCATCACTGGGAAACACCCATACATTCTCAGTCACACACACAAACACTCCTACACTACGGACAATTTAGCTTACCCAATTCACCTATAATACATTTATATTGCTCACCTGATTTGGATGTAAATACCCTTAAATTACAGCTGACAGTCTGCAGTTAAAGCACATCTTGCACGCTTCATTTCAAATCCATTGTGCAGGTGAATCGAGTCAAAAATGTTAGAATTGTCTAGATGTCCAAATTTTCTATGGACCTAACTGTATGTATGGCCTAGTTGTACTCTATTAAGGTGATTTATGAGGACATATCATGCGTCCTTATAATTCAAAATGTTTAAAAGTCGTACTTAACGGGGTCTTTTGAGATTCAAATGTTGCCACTGGTTGTAGTGTAAGGCCATATGCACTTAAAAAAAATTTAACTTAATTGTTTTGTGTTGTTACAACATGAAGGCATTATGTGGAACCCAGCATTTTTACAGTGAACTAAGCATTTTTTAAAACTGTATAAGATACATTACGCCAACGGAGAGTCCTCGTAAACCACTATTACTCTAATGTCTTAATCTAAATTCTATTCTAAAAATGTAACCCAAAATTGGCCTCATTCCCAATGTATGAGTGTGTCCATTACCCTCCTCCAGCTCTTCAGAGTCCTCTGTAGCAGGATGCGCTGGTACATCAGACAGGCACTGGCCTCTCTCTCTGCCTGCACCTCGAACACACACCGCCGCCAAACACACAAACAGCGTCTCTGCAAAGTGTGTGTGTAATGATCCTCCGCTCTCTGGAGGAGACCCAAAACACATACATAACTGTCTGCTTTAATTAACAGCGTCATCATGCTTTATGTGGATCGCAAACTTTCCCTGCTGACTTGCTGCTGGATTTCCAGAGGCACATGCTAGATTAGTTTCGCAGCTAATTGGACCTCCAGGTTTCAGGACTCGTGGATGTGCGGTCAATATCTAAAACAATGCAAATTTCAAACTCAAAGGCTTTTTTTTTCATCTCTTTGCATCTCTGTCACTCCATCTTCCTCCTGAATCTCAGATATCTGCTGTCTGTTCATTTATTTCCAAAAAAACAGGTGGTTAGCCAGGTGGAAACGCAACAGTATACTGTAAACATCATTAAAATTTGGGGAATGGACCAAGAGTTAATGCAAGGCAACAGCTGGTCTTCCTGTCTGTGTGTGTGAGCAACCCATAACTCTTTGGATGAATAATTGATTGTGTGAGTGTTTGTCTGGAAAGCGGGCGATTGGGGCGAATGGCCTGTATTGTTCATCTTCTAGGACATGAATAGCTATGTTTCCATCACCCTGTTTTAAAGTACTGTATCAGAAACGAGTGATGGAAACGCCAAATTTTGAGAAAAAAAATCCATTAAATAAATCCCTTAATATTGGTGTTGTGGTTTTTGACATTTAGATGAAACATGACAGAAATGTAAACACAGCCATTCAGAAGCACAGAATATGCACTTATTTATGAAATGGTAAGGTTTATAATCTAATTAATACATATTAAACCTTTGACATTAGTAAGTGTACATGCTGAATCACTGATATGTGTTGGTTTTGAGTCTAAAGTTCTGTTTCGAAAGGTTTATTTTATTTTCAAAATCTGAGGTGAACTGTCTACTGCTGCTTTCAGTAGTATGGCAATAAATGTCATGAAAAATGACATTTAAACTCACATTATTAGCATTTAACACTGAATTAAGCACATGTGGTGTACCTGAGGTGATCACTGTCAGTTTATCCTGTTGTTCAGCTGCAAGAAATAGAAGCATTTTCTAAAATATAAATTTGAGGTGTTGGTTAGGACAAAAAATACTAATGGAAAAAAACTAGTGGAAAATATTCCTTCTATCACGTATCGTTGCTTTTATTTAGAACACTATTTAAATCAGCCTTGAACCAGCCTTTAGGCTCAATAGTCAGGCAGACTTTTGTCTGGAAACCTGCGCTTGCGTGTGTTTTGATCCAGGAATGCAATACCTAGTTCAACCACTGGGTGTCGGACTTACATACTGCACCTTTAAAATGTTTCAGCAAAATCTCACAATTTAATCTGCTTCTGCCACTGAACAATTTAGTAAACATTCCATGTCCTTAGAAAAGAGGCAATATACAAGCTGACAATAATCTTTAATAAATCTGTTACAATTTTCTAATTGATCCACTTTGGACAGTGTTTTCAAAAAGATTTGCTTCCTAAAAATGCTGTCTCAGTGTGGACAGAAAGCCAAAACAAAGAGAAAAATATGCATTTTTAAAGGAAAACGTATTAGTGTGACCATGGCATAGACCAGGGGTTTTCAAACTTTTTCAGCTGAGGGCCCCTTTGTGTTGGGCGAATTCTTTCGGGGACCCCCAAAAATTAAAAATGACGCCACCCCCTCAAATGAACAACTGTACTTAATTTTTTTTAATTGTATTATTTAATACATTTATATTATTATATATTATTCAATAAATTTATATTATTCACTATCTGGATTAATTTTTGTAAGATGTTAGTTGAGTTGACATGGTTTTAGTGCTTCAATCTATTGATCAAATCTTCATGCACAGTGTTTATTGTGGTCTGCTCTCACTGGATTCCATCAAGCCATATTTTGTGTTCGAGTCATCACGTTTACACAGTTTTTTATGCCATTTTTATGCTTTTTTTTGCCTATGCACAGCTAGACTCTTCTGTATTTACCCTTACAGCTGAGAGTCTAAATGTATCCAAAGATTTAAAGCTTTGAAGTTTTAAAGAGTTTTGTCATTCATCAGCCTGTTAACAGTTAACTCTACTGTTGTTACTAGCAATACTACAATGGAGGCTGTAGTGGTTCAGTGTGTTTTGCTTATTTTTATTCTTTTTTTTGTGCACATCATAATTTACTCAGGTTGACACTCCTGACTTACACTGATAAAAAAAAAATTCCTAAATGCAATCTAGAATTGGGTATTCAAGTTCAAAGAGCCACATGTTTTACTTTGCATAATTTTAGAAGCTTTGCTGACTTTAAAATGTTCATACCAGTTTGTTCTATTAATAATAATACTGAACATTACATTTAAATTAATTACACAAATAAATATGGTAAAAAGTGGAACATCTTGAAAAAAATGCATTTATATTCAGAGTATTAAAATTTGATCAGATATGTTGAGCTCCATTAAATACAGAGCGCTAATACATTTTAATATTTAATAATTAATTAGCCCTATAACATAACACAAACAGATACATTATAATTTTTATAGGCTATAGTGGTTTTATTCAGGGTGTATACAATTTAGTTTTTTTAATTATCCAGTTATGAACCAATGTGAGTAAGTGGTCCACTGCAGAGCTCATCCAGCTGTCATTAGTGTAACGGGTGAAACTCTGAGAACTCGCTGATGTGATGACAGCTCCATTCATTGTTATTGCAGCACTTTTTGCTTTACAATTTTAAAATGTTTGTTTGCCATGCTGCAAAGAGGACCGTCTGATATGTGTACAATGCAAAGTGTAAAGCCTGTCGCGGCGCGCTGTGGACGAGGTGCAATGTTTTGCCGTGTCTTTAAAATGCTATTTGTTCCCTATGAGTTAAGCCTGCGCAAAGAGGCGCGCACTCCGCAGTACCCAGCTGATCGGTTACTTAGGAACGCAAGCCATATACAGGGAAGTGCTTTTAGCCTCCGATAATGTTCTTATTGATCATGTATTTTAACTGAAATATTGTCAGTAAATAGACCTGAGCATTCATTTAGTTGTTTAGCGTAAAAGAGGTAAGCGTAAGTGAAAGGTAAACGCCGTCAGGTGCAGCAGACAAGCGCCAAAAATCACAGGAAGCGGCCGGCCAGAAGCGCTTATTCAATAAAAGTCCCCGTGCACAGAGGCGGGCCGCTGCGCTTCTTTCCCTGTGTCACGAAAGTGTCAACTGCATTTAAATGACATAAGCATAAAGCTTCATTTTTGCAGTACTTTTGAGCTCAAATTATAATAAAAAATATATTAACCTTCAGAATGATGCAGGACACAAAATTCATTCAGTGGGCCCATTGATTACCCCTTATCTAAAATTTCTTTGCGGCCCCCCTAGCGCCATCTGGCGGCCCCCCAGGGGGCCGCGGCCCCCAGTTTGAAAACCCCTGGCATAGACAGCCCTGAATGAGAAGCAGCCGTCCACGGTTAGAATTTCGCGATGTACCTGCCGAAGATAATGTCAGCATCTAAGAGGCATTATGTGGAGTTTTAGGATGCACAAATGAACACCGCAATCTCATGACCTTCTTCTGAGCCACTTCTTTTGACATGTTCAGTTTTCATTGAGAAAACGTTAGTCCTGTTTTTAAATCTGCGCTATGCTGACACATAGAAGTTCTTTTGAAAATGATTTTTTTGAAAATTTTATATCTTATTCAAATTTAAAGCAACAGTAACCAAAACAGCACAATTTGGATTAAAAGCCTAAAAGGGGCAGTTTCAAAGAGTTCTAAATTATTATTAATGAGGCATTTTGAGCTAAAAAAAAAAAAAAAAAAACACACTTTAGGGACATTAGAGACTTATTTTACATCTCGTAAAAAGGGGCATAATATGGCTCCTTTAATTTAAGGTGATATGAAGAGCTTTGCTTCCATTAAATTGTTGTAATTGCTTCAAACACAACATTTTAAGGAATAAAATCCCATAATGGTAGAAAAAATTCTTGAGGTGGGTTTTTTTTGCTGCGAAAAAGAGTGAATGTATATAAGGTTGAAACAATCTGCTGGAAAATTTGTAACGTAACAAACATTAACCCGACAGTTTTGTTCCATCACTTTGCTTTAATTGTTTTAAGTGAAGTTTCATAAACTAATTTCGAGAGGAGCACGTGATATGATTGAGCACTGCTGGCCACTCATCCGTAATCAGTAATAATCCAATCAGAGTGATCCAAGCTTAATATAAATGGATCATTTTCTCCTTATTGCTCTATCTTCGCTTTGGAAGAATCCCCCTTTTCACCCCATCTCCTCCTTTTTCTCCCCTTTCTAAAGGGGGAGCTATCGAGACCTACCTAATCTCGGATCTCCTGATAAGCTTATTGACTGGGCGGGAGCCCTAGACTCAAATATCTCCGAGCTCAGGGTTCTCTCCCGGGACAGCATGCCAAACCTACTTTAAATGTCAAGCATATCTAAGTGGGAACTCTAGAAACAATATTTGGGGGGAAATTCCCCTAATTAAATGATGCTAAATAATGGTAGATTGCCTAATACATTTTAATGAAGTGAACATTAAAGAGCTGTGACTATGAATGCTCGCTTGAGTTGGTTTTTGACTTTTGTGAAAAACAGTGAATGTGAATAATGGCATTTGTAAAATTACTGAATAAATTAACGTGGTAAACACTTAACCAAAGTGCCTATAAACAGCTACTGTATAGTCCATCACATTGTTTTAATAGTTTTAAGCACAAAATATTAAGGAGGGGTTTTGGATTTGTGAGAAAAACAGTTAACGCAGGTGGAAACTTTTGGCCAGTTAATTCTGATGTAACACATTAAATAAATGTGATTATTCCGCTTTCCTGAACAGGTGTTTTTTTATTTGGATCCTCGATTACTAGGTTAACAATACCACCAACCAGCTGCTACTTAAACAATTTGTTGTAAATATACTTAATTTACATTTGAGGTTGTTTCTTTTTTTGTTTGTTTCATGTTAGTTTGGAAACCCAGGTTATGTGTGTGCTTGCAGTGAGTCTGACCTGTGTGTTGGCATGGCTTTGCTCCAGCAGGCGTCTCCAGGGTGTCAGGCCGCGGTGCAGTAACAGGGTTGTGAGGTAGTGTTGAGTCGCCCGCTTTGACTGCTCCTGTTCGTGCTCGACTCTCTTCTGCTTCTCAAGCTCTCTCTAAGTTAACATTAAACCACACACAGTTTCCTAAAATGTACAAACTGAGAGCTGTGTGCATAAACATGAGGACATTTTTATTAAACTGTCATAAACATTATTTAAATGCACTCTCTTATTTAAAACTCTTCTGGACAGTGCTGCGTTATTCTGTATGGATCAGTGTGTTCGCCATGGAGTAAACAAAAATTAAAAAGCTAATTGGGACTTTTTATTTAGACAATTCTGACTTTTATTTCTCAGAACTGAGAGATTAAGATTGCGATTCATATCTTCAAATTCTGAGAAAAGAAAAGTCTTAGAAGTGAACTCAAAATTTCGAGAAATTAACTGAGTAAAACAAAGTCAGAATTGGTAGTTGAAATTTGAAAATGTTAGAAATAAAGTTGCAATTCTGAAAACAAAAGTTAAAATTCAATTCAATTCAATAAACTTTATTGTCTATCCCACAGGTGTTAGAAAATTGTCTTTAGATATAGGCTCACACACAAACAACAAAACATAAATACACTTACACAATTATTTAAAAAAATCCTATTTAAAAACAATAGCAGTGGGAATAAATGTCTTTTTGTACTTAGCCTTTTTTGCTAAAGGGACTTTATACTGTCTACCAGACGGAAGTAACTTAAAGGAACTATGTAAGGATGGGAAGAGTCTTCTACAATAGCGGAGGTTTTTCTTTTTTGTCCCTGCTATAAATAAATCAGTGAGAGGTGTTTGTCTCTCACCAATTATTTTACTCGCTACGTTTACCAACCTTAAAAGTTTATTTTTTGCTTCTAACAGAGAGGTAGTTAAAGCAGGCTACAGTGGTAAAAGTAAGAACAGACTCAATAAGTGATTTATATGCGACAATCAAAATGTCCTTTTCAATATTAAAACTTTTCACAACAAACCCAACTTCTGCTGAGCCATTTAAAAAAACATTCTTTAAGTGTTTATCAAAAGAGAATTGAAAGTCAATTTCCACACCTAAATATTTAAAAGAACTCACCTGTTCAACTTCCTCCCTATTAATAAGCAAAGAGTCACAAAATGTTTCTATTTAAATTAAACTCCAAATAAAGTCAAAACTGGATGATATACACTCAATAGCAAGAAATATAGTCAGAACTGTGAGACTGCAGAATAAACTGCCTATAAAATAATAAAATAATAAAAAATAAAATAAAATAATAATAAATACAAATTTCTATGAAAAAAAATATATAAAAAAGCTCATAAACTTTATAGATGAACAGTTCTAACTCTAATAATTTAGATTAATATTTCTAATTTGAAATATTAGATTGATAAATTATGATATGTACACTCAGACTTTGTACATATATATCTACATTACATAATAAATAGTATATTTACATTGCATAATAAGAAAAATATATTAAATCCTATGGTGGAATCATGCTTCTGTAATTGTTTGTGTTTTTTTGTGGTTATCAGTTTAAATATTTTTTTGATTGGTTGCACAGTGCCATTCTGGTACCTAAAAACTGTATATATTTACACTTTTCATCATTTAATAAAAGCTGGAAATCATAATTATATTTACTAGATGCATTATTTGAGGTATCCCAGGCCCACACAGAATATGCGTTCAGAGAAATCCACAGATTTTTGACATTTTGTAGTTCTAAATGTTATGTTATGTGTGTTATTTTTAATTTCATGTGTTGGGATTTCAGTTCCTAAACTCTCAAAATCATTCCGCACAATTTTTATTCATTATTATTATTATTATTATTATTATTATTATTATTATTATTATTATTATTATTTTTTTTTTTTTTTACAAAATTCTGCTCAGAAATAGTTTTTTTTAGTTCTTAGGTTCTTTCTGGCTGGCCGGATCACTCATGCTGCCAGTTTAATAATGACCACTGACAATACCATGCATCTTTTAATGTAAAACCCATAAATGCTTGATCAAGGTTTCTGTAGGTTTAAGTTAAACTTTAGACTTTTTAAGACATTTTTAAGACCATGATTTTTTAGACTATTACAGGGCTAAATGCTAAATAGTAAGAAACAATTTTCTCTTGCTCTGTCAAAAAATGATTAAAATTATATATATTTATTAATACAATAATAACAATTTAGTTTTTTGTTCTTTAATAATAATTTTTGAATATTTTTTAAATTAATTTTCAAATATATCCATGACAAACTCTATAACCCTTACCAAGAACAGAACAAAACATAGCTGTCAGTTACTTCAGTCTATAACTATAATAAAATTAAGAAAAAAAGAAGTTAACAGGAATATTTAGACCTGTTAAAAAAGATTTAAGACCTACACCACAACATTTAAGTAGATTTAAGGCCTAAAATTTAGCTTTTGAGATTTAAGACATTTTATGACCCCAGGGAAACCCTGATGATATGAGTATTCTCCACACACCTTCTTCTGTTGCCTCTTCTCTTCCTTCTTCCTCTCCACCTCCCTTTGTTTCTCCTCTTCCTCAGCTCTCAGTCTTTCCTCCTCAGCGGCCTTCATTTGAGCCTGATGAAGCAAAAATATGATGCTTTCATCATCATGTTCTCTTGACTCCTTCACTGAAGATGAGCAGGTCTTACTAGTTTCTCCTCCTGCTTGTGTCTCCTCAGCTCCTCCATCTCTTTCCTGCGTTCAGCGCGCAGACGTGCTCGCTCCTCCATGGCTGTAAGAACCATAAAAGAGAAACGAGAGACAGAGTTGGCGGGAGACCGAGATTAAAGGGTCACTGTGAAGTATTGCAGCATGTTCTTAAGATCTTATGGCTCTTTGGTACATGTTTCTTTTGCTTTTGCATCTGTATTCAAGGCCATGTCTTATATCAAGCCAACTGAGTATTTTTGCTCAAAATCTCACTGCTGGTTGCAGGATTTTTCAATGCTTGGAATAAGGATTAGGAAATTAGCCTTGGCTTAAGGCAAAGTTGGTTCCCAGTATTAAACATGTGAAGAAAAACCACCCTGTGCAGCATTTTGTTTGTTTTAAAATATACAATCCTATTACAGTATATAATGAATGCTTACTCTTTTATTATTTATATATTAATATTTTGATAGCGACATGGTGGCTTAGTGTTTAGAACTGTCACCTCACAGCAAGAAAGTGGCTCGTTCGAGTCCGGTTGGCATTTCTGTGTGTTGTTTGCATGTTCTCCTCGTGTTGGCGTGGGTTTGCTCCAGGTGTTCTGCTTTCCCCCACAGTCTAAAGACATGTGCTATAGCTGAATTGAATAAACTAAATTGGCCGTAGTGTATGTGTGTGAAAGAGTGTGTATGGATGTTCACAGTACTGGGTTGCAGCTGGAAGGGTATCCGCTGTGTAAAACATATGCAGGAAAAGTTGGCGGTTCATTCAGCTGTGGCGACCAATGATGAATAAAGGGACTAATTTGAAGAAAAATGATTGAATGAATGTATACTTTTATCTTTGCCATGATGATAATTCTACACATTTTTTACTAGATATTTTTCAAGATATTATTATTAAGCTTCAAGTGTGATATAAAGGCTTATAGGTTAATTAGGCAAGTCATTGTATAACGATGGTTTGTTCTGTAGAAAATCGAAAACGATATTGCTAAAGGGGCTAATAATTAAAATGTTTTTTTTTTTTTTTTTATAAAAAAATGCTTTTATTTAAGCCGAAATAAAACAAATAAGACTTTCTCCAGAAAGACAAATATTATCGAATATATTGTGAAAAATTCCTTGCTCTGTTAAACACAATTTGGGAATTTTTTAAAAAAGAAAAAAAATTCATAGAAGGGCTAATAATTTTGAAATCAACTGTTTGTGTATTTGTGTAGTCATTCCCCTCGCTGGGCAGCAGAGGTCACCATCACCAGACTTCTAAGCATTATGCATGCTCATACACTGATTGCCACACAGAACTGCAGCTCATCCCACTGATGATCCACACACACATATAAGCAGCTCACACACACACTCCTGTGCGAAGTCTTGTTCTGCCCTGCCTGACATTACTGAGCGTTATCTCCTTACCTGATCGCCCGTGTATTACCTGGACTGTTTCTCGACCTTGCCTTGCCTGCCGCCTGCCCTGAACCTTGCTTGTAACCTTGACTTTGAACCACGCCGCCTGCCTTTGAACCATGCCTGCTATCACACTCCTTGACAGCCAGCCGCCAGCCGTTAGACCCATTACAACTACGTTTGATGAGAGTTTGCACGTAAGTGCGTATTGTGTGATTGTGATTAAAATGTGTTTAATAAATATACTGCAAATGGATCCCTCCGTGTCAGACTCCTCGTTACACAGTGGTGTAAAGTAACAATTATAAATACTCAAACTACTGTTATTGAGTAATTTTTTCTCAGGAAATGTAATTTACTAAGTAGTCTTAAAAATGTGTACTTTTACTTTCCTGAGTACATTTTTGTGCTATATTGGTACTTTTACTCCTCTACTTTCCTTCAACCTCCAGTCACTACTTTATTTCTCTCTAGTCTATGGTGATTGGCTGGATTGGTGGTTGAAGTACAAAAATCAGTCCTGCGATTCATGTTCAATTAAATCGCACATAGAAAGTAAATCGCATCATAGTGAACAACCTCAATACATGGGCGTTTTATAAATGCAGCAAACATTTTGAAAGCATTAAAAATGTCCAAGAAGATTTCCAAAATCTTCACACGCAATGACCCAGAGACTTTGTACAGACTTTATGTCACTGATGAGAAAATGAAGGATGTTGACTGTATGATGACTGAAATCACCAAACAGCCTTAATCAATCACTAAATGGAATGAATGAAGAATGGAAATAAGGACCAAACAAGAAATGGAAGGAAGGACCAAACGAAGGAAGGACTGAACTAATGGAGGAAGGCAGGATCAAATAATGAAGGAAGGATTTAAGGAAAGACTAAACAAACTAAGGAAGGAAGGAGAGAAGGATGGTAGGAACAATCAAATTAATGAATGAACAAAGGACCTAACAAAGGAAGAAACAAAAATATGAACGAACGAACGAACGAATGAATAAGTGAACAAATAAAGGGGGAACGGAGGAAGCACCAAATAAATTAAGGAAAGATTCAAGGAAGGACTGAACAAACTAAGGAAGGAAGGAAGAAAGAAATGAATGAATAAATGAATGAATGAACAAAGGACCCAATGAAGGAACAAAAATATGAACAAATGAACAAACAAATGAATGATGGACCGAACAAAAAACAATGGAAGGAAAGTTGGAAGGAACAAACGAATATAGGAAGATCAATAAATGCACTACAGAATTTTACGTTTACACATCCCTGCACAAACTGCATGTAAACTCATCAGCTGTTCACAGTGTAATACTCAATACTCAAGAGTACTTTTAAAAGTGCTATATATTTACAGTAGATACTTTTACTCTACTTGTACTACATTTTTGGGCAATAGTACTTTTACTTGAGTATGATTTTTCAGTACTCTCTCCCCCACTGAGTATACTGTAGGTCAGAAGTTGGTCTGAAAAATCTAACTGGTCACTTCAAAGTTCACAACACTTCACTTACACTACATAGAGCCTTAATGTTTAAAACTGGTGGATGATTTTGTCAGCAGGACAAAAGCAGGAGTTGTGAGGATTGTTAACAACCACACGCTGATAAACAAGCCATGTGCAGATTATCAAACAAACATGACTACATCAAGCAACAGTGAAGCCGGAGGAAAAGCCATTGTGTACTTATGCTATTGTTTGCACGATTTTTCACACTAGTGGATTACGAGTGTGTAGCAATTGTATGCATCTGTATTCAGTGCATTCGGTATCAGACAGGATTTAAAACTAGGGCATTGCCATGAAATTAATTTTCCATGCTTGGATTCACCGTAGTGACAGTTTTGGATTGTGTTTGTGTAGCACTGACCTTGTACTGTGGGATGGGGAAGCGGCGCTCGATGCACAGATGATTTTTGGTCGGCGCTTTCCCTCGAGTCTCTCTTTGTTCTGGGATTATAAGGAGAAAGAATGTCTTTGTGAAATTGTGACCAATAACAAACATGTTTCTCCCACACGCACACATGGAGAGAACAGCAGTAGGAAGTGACCCTTTGGTAAAATCTGCAGGGATTACAAGCAAGTATTATGTTCTGATCCACTCTGGTGATTAAGATGAGATTTCTTCTGTTTTCTTCACACAAAGACATTGTAAAGAGTAATATTATGAAAAATGTCAAACCTTTGCAGCTGAACCACAATGCAAGCTAAGTAATTAATACATGTAACACTGTACAATGCAACGTAAATGTCGGAAACCTTGGGGTCATATTTCAGGTAAAACTGCTAATATTATAGATCGAAAAAATTATATTGTACTTCACATTAAAATATTTTCAATGTTAAGACTTGTTATTACTATGTTTTATAGTATTATTTCCATGACAAAGAGGTATATTTAAACCTAATGTTTTGTTGAAAAAACAAAAGTTGGATCCAAGATGGCCGACTTCAAAATGGCCACCATGGTCATCACCCATCTTGAAAAGTTTGCCCTCTCACATATACTAATGTGCCACACACAGGACGTTAATATCACCAACCAATCCCATTTTTTAAAGGTGTATCCATATACATGGCACACCCTGTATAATGATGGTTTGTTCTGTAGACTATCAGGAAAAATATAGGGCTTATAATTTTGTCCTTAAAATGGCTTTGGAAAAATTAAAAACGGCTTTTATTATAGCTGAAATAAAACAAATAAGACTTTCTCCAGAAGAAAAAAAAACATTATCAGACATACAGTGAAAATGTCCTTGCTCTGCTGAACATCATTTGGGAAATATAAAAAATAAATAAATAATTCATAGGGGGGCTCATAATTCTGACTTCAACTGTATGCATGCACAGTGTACTATTCATAATTGTGAAGTTTTTTTGTAGTCACCAAAGCTGAATTTGTTTGATCTAATATACAGTAAAATAGCAACATGTGAAATAGTTATAATGATTGTAGTATTTGAAATGTTTTTAAAAATGTACTTTATAACTGTAAAGACAAAGCTGGCTTTTCAGCAGTCATTACTTCAGTCTGGTGCTCATCAAACTTTAATAGCAGTGTCAAAATACTTAATATATTTATAAAATCATGTTAGTAGCATTTTTTTAACATTCTACAGATTTTTCTATAAACTTTATTAATGTATTTGCTTGGTAAATTTGATGACTTTGTTCAGCATTACATATTCTACAGCATTGCCGTATTCTAAGGCAACTCTACATTGACAGCTTAATTATTTAATGTTTCCTACACATTCACTAATGTATGTGTTAATAGAGTAGATCACTTTCGATGTTGTAAAATATTTGTTAAATGAATTTTGTCAAAGCAGAAGCATATATACTGTCCATGGAAAAACTTTAAAACAGAAAAAAGAGCATAGTTGGAACGGAAATAAAACATCATCTATAATTACACTAATCAATGCATGAAGTATAGCCTATTCATAATGTGTGTTTTATTGATCTGGTTCTTATGATTTAAATTCATTTAAGAATTTTATTCATTAATTTATTGATTAATTGATTGATTGATTGATTGATTAATGAATTGGTTGATCTTTTTCTTCATGTCATGCATTTAAATTCCTTTAATGCACAAGTGTCAAGGCCAGTTCCAGGTAAGTGTGTTGGGTTGGAACTAAACTGTGCAGAGCTGCAGCCCTCCAGGAACTGGCTTTGAAACCTGTGCTCTAAAGGAATTTAAATGCATGAGATGAAGGAAAAGATCAACCAATCCAAGCCGACGATTATTCATATGTAATGCACACCCTCCTAAATGTAATTTCTGATGATTTAAACCTTTTTTTTATTAGTTCATTTATTTTAAAAAAACATATTCATATTTGCTAATTAATTATTTTGTTTTTCATTTCATCAATAAAGTTTGTGTATGAGATTTGGTTTGATTTTATGCAAAATTAGAATAAATGAATTTTTCTAGATTTTTGTGTGATATAAATCCCAGACACATATGTGTGTACCTTGGTTTCTCTGCACATCCAGTTGTTGTTTCTTTGTTAATTTTAGACTGACAGCATGTGCTCACGACTTCAGGGGAACCTGTTGCTATCAGAGCCATTTTCTCCTCTGCACGTCTGAGCTCCAGGATGTTCTGTCTCTCCTGCAGAAGCAGAATCTGCTCTTGCTGCTCCTTCAGCAGGCGTCTCTGCTCAGCAACGGTCTGCTGCAGGGCCGCGTGTCTGTGTTTGAACTGTCCACCACTGAGCTCTGCACCTCTGCTTCTGCTGCTCTGCTGGGTCTGACGAGCCCGGCGGAGCTCAGCCATTGAGAGAGCAGCATGACGACGTGTCACCTGCCAGGCCTGAGTGAGCTGAGCCTCTGAGCGGCCACTGCTGTTAGTGACTTGAGCAGTGGATGAACCGCTGTCTGGGGTTGCTGGCCCTTCCTGTGGTGGGATGAAGCAAGAGAGATTTTTTAGGATTGCAATGTTACCAAATACACCAGCAGGAATAATTAACCCAGCGATTTCTGACAATTTTTTACTAACAGCTGTTGCGGCTGTGGCGACCCCAGATTAATAAAGGGACTAAGCAGACAAGAAAATGAATGAATGAATGAATATTTCAGCCGTAAGTGTCATGTGATCTTTTAGAAATCATTCACTCACTATGCTTTGATTTTTATATATGATTTATCAGAGGTTGCCACAGCGGAATGAACTGTCAATCACTCTGGCATATGTTTTATGCCCTTCCAGCCACAACCCAGCACTGAGAGTACACTGAGAGTAAAAAAAATTCTAATCAATCTAAATATTCTGCAGTCTTTTAATATTAATTGTTAAGCTTAGTACCATATTGAATAGGGGTCGCCACAGAGGATTGACCCCTCAACTATTCTGGCATAAACCAGAGGAAACCCACGCCAACACAGGGAAAACATCTAAACTCCATACAGAAATGCCAACTGGCCCAGCTGGGACTCAAACCAGCAGCCTTCTTGCATGGAGGTGACAGTGCTAACCACTGAGCCACCGTGCTGCTCTGTTCTTTTTATTAATAACGTTGAAATCCTTTTTCAGATTCTACAGATTTTCTTGATAATGTGATGTCATTCTGGCAGTGTATGTTTTTACCTGAAGGCTGATGTTTTCTGTAGGACAAGGTGTTTCAGGATGGTTTGTACTTGAAGGAGATTTTACTGCTCTAAGTTTTCCAGAAGCAGCAGAATTAATCAAGGCTGCCATTTTGCATCTCGTTTCTTCTTGTTGTTGGAGAAGTTCCTTGCGGTGACATTCTACCTGACACCACACACGCCAATCACTGAAGCAGCGCCTCAAAAGCCTCCTACGGTCGCTTTCCAGTGCCTGCTGACAGCGCCTGTGGAAGTGACAGATATGACTTAAAACCAGTCGGCTGGCAGTGCTGCCAACATGAAACAAAGCCTTTAATTAGCCTTTAATTAGGCAATTAACAAGTTCTTTTGTTCTAATCACTTTTCTTTTAAATGTTTATCAGGCTATTCAACTCTAGGTAACAGGCATTTATACACCTTTTCCCAACGCTACATGATGCTTTGCATAAATTATGGGACTACCTTTAATTAAACTTTAAATTGTAAATCAGTGAAATGTTTAAAATGGAATGGATACAGCAAGCTGTCATTATTTTGCTCACAGTTCATCCAGCAAATATTACAAGTCAAAACATGAAAAATCCCAAAAGTTCAAAACAGTTCTTTCTGCAGCATTATTATGATTAAGTGTTAAACATTACTGAACTGCTGGGAAAACAAAACAAACATATTCTGGAGTGAAGTGAAAAAAGTTTGGGCTACAGATATGCTTGTCATTCTAATGTCACATCAAAATACCAAGCATAAAAGTTATTTTTATGATGCTCCTCCAAACACAACACCACAGGTTTTTACTACCTATACGCAGGGCTAGCAAAACTGCTAGCCTGAAATCCTGTCGCTATAATGTTTTCTAGTTGGGCTACGAAAAAATAATCCACCCTGTAGACTATGTTAATGGGAGGACAATTATAACCCATTTCAGTGCTAATGCATGTAATTGTCATGAATTTAAGGAACCACTATCAATATGTATTTAAATTTGCTGATGTTTTCAAAAAAAATTATAATTGCAGGCCAACCAGGTTTTACCATAATTTTTCCCCCCAAGGACAATTTAAGAAAATAATAAAAATAAATAAATAATTAAAACAACATATATCATATCTTATTTGATATCATATTTAGTTTTTTTATTTATTAAATGCATGTATTTCTTTTTAATTTGATAAATAATGTATTTTCTACTCAGGGTACTGGAAATTATTTTGCGCTACCAAAAACTCAGAGTTACTTTCCGAAATGCTACAAGAGATTTAGAAATTTTGCGAACCCTGATATGGATTATTTGTAATGTTTGTAAAGTTTTTGAATGAAAGTTCCCCAAACCAGAAAAAGTACAAAACATAGTTAGAAATGTAGTAATCATGTGTGGAAAGAGGTGGATAAACTGAGCTCTGCTACCTGTGCTCATGTCTCAGCTCTTCTTCAGTCTTCTCAGCCTCTTTCTTCTCTCTTCTGGCCCAAACCAGAGCTCTCCAGGCCCTCCATGCCCTCAGCTGCCTCCTCCAATCACACAGCGCTGCTGCCTTGCCCATTCGTACCCTTCTTTCCAGTATCATAGAGTACCATGCAGAAAAATGTTTTTGCATGCGCTGGAAATGTATGCGTAAGGTCCGTAAATTAAAGTGTTCATTGCATACAATGATGGTTAAACTGCTGTTGTCTTACCTGCAGGTTTAGGAGGTGAATTTTAGCCTCTAGGTTTTTCAGCTTGAGCTGAAGCTCTTTGTTCTGTGTTGGATTATGATGTTTTGGAATAACAGAGCTCTTAGTGGCCTTTTGTTGCTGAAGCCTTTCTCTTTCCCTGTTCAAAAATGAAATTTAAATGTCAAGCAATTATCTTTTCAAAAATAAGCATGCCATTTAAATGAAAAAATTATAGTAGCTCCAAGAGGAATCTGGACATTTAAAAATGTATTATTAGATCTAATTATAAATGAAAATTGCAGACCAAATATACCTATTTTTAAAGAATTAGAATTTTTTTTTCAAATTAATTCATTAAAAGAAAACAAAACCAATGTTTTCAAAGCACAATTTTTGATCATAGATATGAAAATGATCTTGAAAATTCATGTAAACTTCGACCTAAGATGACACTTTTTTATAGTCTTTTTTATAGATGGCACACAGAGATTATTGATAAAGTGAAATAATTTCAAACTAATAAAAGTGAATGTTTTTGTAAAAAATTAAATGTAAAAAAAAAGAAGTATAAAATCTCAAAAAAATTCTGGAAACTAAAATTGCTATAAAATGTTTAAAAAATATGTTTTGAAGAAGTCAATTAAAGTAAAAGCAATTAAAAAAATGAGTGCTAAGTAAGCAGAACACTGACAATTAAAACAACAAACTGTGATATTACGTTCTAAATGAAATGTATTCATACAGTGTTCATATGGATAATGTATAATCCAATACTTTCAGGGACTTTTCGTGAATATTTTTCAAGGACTTCAGAGATCAAACAAATTATTCATAGTTTATGATAATTAATGAGCAGTGGGCTAAAATGTTAATGGCAAGCATTGAAAGATTGATACCGCATGAAATATTTTATCAAACACATAAAACACTACTTTATACTTATATGTTTTTAAATACACCCTTATAAATATTTCTGTTTCCAAGGCTTATCCTGTACTTAAAATTTAACCTAAAAGTAGATCAAGTGCTTTAAACACCTTAGACGAACCCTGTATTTAAAAACTTTCTGGCTAGCTTCTGTTTCCAAGGGCCCTCAAGCAGTGAGAAATGTGGAAATTTTTCTCATTAAATGTATGCCAGATCTTCTAACTAGGCTGTTTTTCACAGCTTAAGAAAAATATAAAGTTTTATATGTATAAATATATATATATATATATATATATATATATATATATATATATATATATATATATATATATATATATATATATATATACAAATATATTATACAACTGCCTTAAAGCCCCACAGTCCTTTGATCAAGCCCTCGAATGAACCTGACATGAACTCGACTCCATAGTCTCACCTTGTGTGCAGTAAAGTTGAGAAATAAAGTTAGTCTGGAAAAAGTCTAACATAATTTCTTTGCAGATGCCACTTTTTTTAATATTTTGACAATTATGCATTTTTAATAGTAACTACTAGTGTGTGTCCACATGTATTTGTGATTGCTGTACATGTTTCGTGCCAGCTGCTCTACATTCCTTTTCTTCTCCATCTCCCTGCGCAAGCGAATCATCTCCTGCTGTATCAGTTCCTCCTGCCGCTGAGCCTCCTGTCTCTTCTTTCGCTGTTTCTCCTGTTCCATTTGCCGCACTTCTTGTCTCGCCTCCTTTAGCACTTCTTTTTCTTTGCGCAGTTTTTCATGCTCTGCATCTCTGCGCATGCGGTTCTCTTTTACCTGTTTGTGCCGCACCTCCATGGTCAGGCTAGGGTCCCTCCACCTTTTCTTACTCTGATCAGAGTCCTCTTTGAGGTTCTCCACCATCCCAAAGTCCAACACCTCAGTTTCCATCAAATCCTGGAGGAAATGATGCACTACAGAGTTCTCCTCCTCCTGCTCTAGTTGAAAGTACAAGTCTAAACAAAGACAGATAAAAAGAGCTGCAATGTTAATACTGTCATCTGTAAGAATAAATAAATAAATACATAAATAAATAAATATTTATAATTTATATATATATATATATATATATATATATATATATATATAATTATCTTCAAATAAGCTTACACAAGAATATTTTTGTGCCAATGTGTGAATACTTCAGCTTGTGACGAAACTTAAAACCAATGCTTATAATGCTGATGCAGAAAGTAAACCATCTGAAAACATTTAAAAATGTCTGCAATCGACTTAACCGCCACCAGTATTGCTAAATAATTACATTTCTGAATTAGGCATATTGTGCTCTATCTAAATGCATGGTCTGAAATGCACAGTAGTGGTGCACTTAGGTTGTGTCCGAATCCCCTTTTGCTAATTTAAGGATAGGAAAAATAGTCATTGAACCCAGCTCATGATCTTAGAGGGTTGTCCTTATTCTCTTAATGAGTTACAGGTGTGTTTAGGGCATAACGAGCATTGAACGATTTAGTGTCTTATCTTTGATTCTCTTCAAAAGCGAGTTGTGCTGAAACTAGTAAACTCTTGCCTTGCACCTGACGTCACATTGTGCCAGGTTTATAGAAGTCATGTAAATATTTCATATAATGTGTGATGTCAGGTGACTAAGGGCAAATGCGAGTGACATTAATTTAAGCACATATTCCGGGGAGTAGCTAGAGAAGGAAGGAAGAGAGTGAGGGAGCTCAAATTTGTTTGCTGACCATATCATATTATTCACCCATTTTGGATTTGTTTGTTTTGTTTTGACGTTTGGTAAATAAGCGATGAATAACAATAAACAAGACGCATATGCAAGATGATTAATGATAGGGCTTGACATTCAAAACCTATAACCGATCTAATTTTTCCGGGTCAACTTTTTCAATTACTTTCCCTACCGCGTGTGAAGTCACGAGACCCTACTATGTTAAGGCCACTTTATACTTTCCCGTCAAACGTACGGTTATGGTCTGTCGCAGCCTCCATGCGCAGACCCATGTACTCCTCAAAAAATGTACATGTCGCAAGTTTGACAATGATTGGAAGCTGCGCAAGAGACAGCACATTTTCTACTTTTATATAAAAACTTTTACATTGAAAATAATTTGTTTTGTTTCCAAAAGTGCAAGTTATTTATTTTCACTTTTTATTTTTTTTTTTTTATAAGAATAAAAGTAACTGTTGGTTTTAAGAAACGTGTTGTTTAAGTTCAGTTGTTCAACGTTGATGTTCAATAAATAATCATAGATAGCACAGTGTGTGTTTTCTTTAATTATTTTAAAATCAAGTAATACACCCTTCATTCAAATGTTTCTCGCTTGTCATATGTGAGTATATTTTCTCTACAAAACTTTTAAAATAAATAAATAAAATAATCGTTCATTAATGGAAATCGAGTTAAAATGTTCAATAAATCGATATTTTGATTTTAGGCCGAATCGTCCAGCCCTAATTGAAAAGTCACAAGCCATTCCCTCACTCAGCTCCTGCGGCTTTATTTGTTTTTCGGATGTTGTATAATGGAGCCCATAATAATTTTAAATGAACTAACTGAAATAAAATATGTCTGAATGCACTCAAAATCACTGTAAAATAATCATAAACAACACATTATACAGAAATATTAAAAAATTATGTAAACTGAAATTCTAAAAACAAAATGTATAATATTATTAAATATTACAACAGTGTATTAATAAAATGGGAAATAACTGTTTTAAATGACCGTAGATATTTAAGGTAAACATCCTGTAAAATGCGTAATTTGTCCATTTGTACCATCAAAGTTATTATAGCTGGACTCTGTGTTCTTAATAAGTTGTTTGGATTCTGAATCCTCCATTGTACTGGAACTGATCTCTTCTTCCTCCTCGTCGTCATCATCCATTTCAAGCTCCAGCCGTAACTTCTGGTTCATCCATTCACTTAAAATAGACTGAGCTGTGGAGTATGAGAATAATGACCCATCAATATGGTCATAACTTTTAAAAAGTGCTGAATTTTAATTAGATTAAGACTACCTTCGCTGTACGCATCATCATGATCCTGTAGCTGCTCTACACTCTGCAGTGGCATAATCTTTTTACCATTATGGGGTTTCTTCAATGAAAACACTTCAGATACAGCAAACTCTGAAGCCCTTTCCACCCGCTGAGGAAAAGAAGAATGCAAGAGAAAGATTACAAGAGAAAAATGCATTCATACATACAGGGTTATTAAGTTTAATTTAAGACTTTTTAAGACCATTATAAATGAAACTTTAGACATATACAGGGCTTTATTGCTAAAGATTTATTTTAAATATCCCAGTTAGAAAACATTTCCACTTGCTCTATCAAAAAATTATTAAAACTTCATACATTTAATAATACAATAATAATAATTTTGTTTAAATATTTTTGTATTAATTATCTAATATATCCATTCCTAAACACTATAACCTTAACAAGAATAGAATAAACATAGCTGTCAATTGCTTCAGTCAATAATAATAATAATAATAATATTTTTAACAATAAAAATATAGGCCAGGCCAGTATCCTCAGCAGTAAATAAAGAGAACTTTTAAGCAAATTTTACTGTAAGGAAAGTAATTAAATGCTATTTTTAAATAAAAAGTTTAATTGAGGTGGACTGTTGGTGATTGTAAGGGTGTTAATTCAGTAGATTTAAGACTTTTTAAGGCCTAAAATTTTGCTTTTGAGATTTAAGACTTCTTAAGATCTTGTGGATACCCTGTACATAAACACAGGCATTGCATCCCTTGTGTAAGAAAGGTTTAATTTAGTATAAAAACTGTGCTTTTTATGGAAATTACATGTTAAAATAACCTTCAATAGCAATAAATGTTCAATAGCAAAAAATGTTCAATAGCTAAATTTGTGCAGAAAGTAAGAAATTACTCATGATGTTCCACTGCAATTTCCTCCAATCAGAGAGTTGTAGTGAGCACAATTTGCAAAAAGAGATGTTTAGCTCCATCCACATGAGGCACAGTCAGTTATTTAATTGAGTCTGTCTCCTAAAATACAACAATGTTATATAAGGTGAGTGAAAAGTAACTGAGCATTAAAAAAATGGTATAAAACTTTTATTTTTTCTGTTGCGCACAAAACAAGACATTCTGAAGAATTTTAGAAACAATCAGCTACTGATTTCTATGTGGGAACAAAAATACTATGTAAGTCAAGGGCTTCCAAGATTCTTCAAAATATCTTCTTTTGTGTTTAGCAGTAGATAGAAAATACACAGGTATGGCACAAGTGGAGGATGAGTAAAGATAATTTTAGAAAGTTCATTTAGGGGCAAACTATCCCTTTATTTACGTTATTCCTATAGATACAACAACAACTACTTTCGACAGCGCCACTGGCCGGTACAGGTGGGGGGAAAAGCGGGGGGAGGGAAGTTCTGCCCCTAACAGTATCTCTGTAGGCTCCAAAACGGCGTGGGTCCTTAAAACTTCCTAACGTAAAATTAATTAAAAAAAAAAATTTATTTATCCATCATTTTTACAGCATTTGTGTCATTCATAACACTTTATGTGATAGTAGTTATTTTATGCCATTCCATAAGCAGTTTTGTCTTTTTGATTTCCATATACTTTGTTTTGCTTATTGAGTCAAATCTGAGTTTGTATTTTAGAATTAAAGATTAAAGACAGATTAAAGAGTTTTGTAAAAGTTTGTATTCTGATGACGAAGGCACATAAATTAAAAAGAAATCATGAAGTGTGCACTGAAAATTATTTATAATAAATGCTGCAATCATCTGTAAATTAGTAAGGACTGCTTATTTTGGTGACTTCATGTGCAAACTAATTGCAGTATTTTTGACAGTGATGGTCAAATGATCAAATGTACTTACCTTTACCCACTGTTTTATGTCATTATCATCAAGCTGCACCTGTAATATGAGATATGAATTCAGCTTTGTCCATCATTTTAATCAAAAATAGACAGAGAGCACAAAATATCATAAGCTGTTTATTGGGTTAAATCAGGAGATTTTGTTGATGCCTGGGGTTAACATAAATTGATATTTTGTCACACTGGCCTCACATATCTAATTCCTCGACAAATGTTATGTCTCACGTTCACTTGGCTGTATTGTGGATACACCTGAGGGCGTCGCGTTGCACATTTGAGCTAAATCCTGCTAACGTTAAGCCGTAAATGAATTCGTATTAATAACCAATGTGCATGATCAAAGATAACCTGAAAGTCCCGTTTATTTACCTCAAGCTGAATTCTGTAAAAAACAGCACTCAAGCAACATTATTTCTGGGCTAAATCTATGAAGAACTGAGTGAAGGAGGAAATTTTACTCGCCTTATTATTGCCTGACGTTTTAGTCTTTGTCGTTTTCCAACGAAAAATATCCGGTCTGTGTGTGGAATGAGCCATTTTGTTTTGTATAAGTTACCTTCATATGTTTGGACTGTAAAATAAAATAAGTAACGTTATATTTTCACATGTTTGCAAAAAGTATTAGAGTTACAGTACAAGCAGCACAAAATTTAGCTTCGTAAAAACATTCATGTACTTTAGCGAGAAACTTTTCGCTCGACAATGGAATTGTGGGACTTGTAGGTTTCACAAAGTGACCTTACGTGAGTTGATGCCAAAGTAAAACTACATATCCCAGAAACTACTCAGGGAAACTGAAGCGTCTACTTTGAAACCATGGAAACCATATGGCACACACACACACACACACACACACACACACACACACACACACACACACACACACACACACACACACACACACACACACTGTACTTCATCTAAAACATTTGTGAGAATTCAAAGCAACTACACGTTTTACATTATTACAGTGCTAAGCAAATGTACACCCCTCTGAAATCTATATTTTAAAATCAAATATGAAGCTATACAATTTTATATGTGTGCATGTACATTAGATAAGTCAGTAATGACGCCAAATCTGGAGCTTATCTAACAAAATAACTTACAATAACTGTCCAAACACTGGAAACGTTAAATTCAAATGTATAGGTTAGAGAAAAATATTGAACACAAATTTTAAAAAGAGGAAAAACCAAGAGAAGCTAATAATAATAATAATAATAATAATAATAATAATAATAATAATAATAATAATAATAATAATAATAAATAAATAATAAAAAATTAACCATATTTTTTCCCAATATTTTGCTTGAATTTAATTTTATTATCTTTTAATTTATAAATATATTTGGTGACTAAAATATTACTTTAATAAATATATCTGTTTAATACATCTGTTTTGTTTACATGCACAAAACACATTGCCAGTATGCACAGAGAAATTTATAAAAATATTCATTTTCAAAATTAAATAATAGTTTAATTTTTACAATATTTTTTATTTTCAGTGTTCTGGTTAAACATAACCCTGTTTTAAATGTATTTTGTTTTACAGATGTTCAGCAACAAAAAAATATATATAAAAAAGACTTTACTCAAATAAACAAACCGCATTTAATTACTGATATAAACTGAGACTGGAAAATATCAAATAAAATAAAGTAATAAAAATTACCAGATGAGTAAATCAGTCATTTGTGAATAAATTATTTTTTAAACCATTTTTAATTAGAAAAGAAGAAAAACACAAACACATCAAGATATATATATATATATATATATATATATATATATATATATATATATATATATATATATATATATATATATATATATATATATATTATAAAAAATATTTATTATATAAAAAATTATAAATCAATTAAACTTAGAATGCAAAATCTCGTAGAGGTAACATCATAATGACAAATAAAGTACAAAACATTCAGCATTAAACTTAAAGGGGTGTTCAAATTACAGGTAGGGCAATAAAAAAAAATAACGCAATAAATGTATGAATGTCCGATTATATTTTTTGGTCATGACAATTTTTAAGTAATTTCAGTGAGGAGTAATAGAGTTTAAGTTTAAATGTTTAAAGCATAGGGTACAGTCTTAAACCTGCGGTGTATTTAGCAAGTAGGAAAACGTTATTCTCTTATTTATAATTAGGATATTGACTTGTCTAATCCAACAACATAAAAGAGAATACACTGGATGTTAAAACAGGGATGTTGGTGAGTAAGTATCAAATGCACTACACAGGACTGTAATGTTAGATGTTTTGACGTCATAAATGTGAGACGCAAGTCAAAGACCGACGAACAATTTCTGCGACTTGAAGTTCTCACATGTTCTGCTGTGTGAAGCAGCTAAAATCAGTCTGGTAAGCCTTGAAGCAAATGACGTTTTTTTATGATCGTATATGACATATTATTATTTTCATGTTATAGAAATATATGTTCTGTATGTTATGAAATTGCTTTTAGACACGATATAAACACAGATTTGAATATTTTGAGGGACTCATAAGGTTTTATTTATGATCGCATATGACTTTAATACTAAGTTATGCATAACGTTACGTATGTATGTATGTATGTATGTATGTATGTATGTATGTATGTATGTATGTATGTATGTATGTAAACCTGCTTTCAGACAGGACATAAACATTCAGATTTGAAAACTAAACAGTATTGTAATCTGCTTCACTAGTTTATATATTTGCTTATCAAGCTTTGTATAACTGTGAAAAGCCAGAGTAAGGCAGAGGATAGAATTGTTTTTGTGTTTGACGACTGATGAGCTATCGTTCCTCTCTCCAGATGAAGCTGGAGTTGTCTCGAGTGGTCCAGGGATGCCGCCTGGGGGTTTTGACTGGTCTGGGGAAATTAGGACAACACTCACTAGAGGTGCCCGGCTGTCTCCTGTACACCCGCTGTGCCACTGTTCCACATCTGACCCAGGACACATTACTAACCTTGAGCGACCTGCCAGCCGTCACACAAGTGTCTGTGGATAGCCTGTAAGAGTTTTGTTATACTGTCCATTTTGAGTCAGGTTTTCTAGAATTTATTCGGACAAAGTAGATCTTCTGGCCATACTGGAGGATTTGCAAAATTTGCATCTTAGTTTGA